GTTGTTTAAGTGGCTTATGTCACATCCCCACCCCACCCCCTTTGGAAAGCTCAGTTCTGTAGACCACCTCCCAGGTTCTGCTGTCTTGGACCAGCTGTTATTCCCTTTCTATGCTTCTTTTTTTTTTCCTGGTATGAGAGAGAACATTCTGTGCCTGTCCCTCTCCTTCTGACCAACTTCACTGCAACATCTGGAAACAACCTGAGTCACCAAGAACAGATGAATGGATAAAGAAACTGAGGTGCATTAATTATTAATTTTTTTTAAAAAAAATGAATCATTCTCATTTTTTGACCTTCCTGGTTTTCTGATTTAAATATTTCCTTCTTTTTTAGTGTCTGAAACACATGTTCTTATCTAAATACATACAAGTGAAATATATACATATATATTATAAGGAAATAAAGTTTCTGAAGTTGAAAACTTTTTTTCAAAGAATTTTTAAAGTGATTTTGTAAGATTTAAGTAATCTCTTCCAAAGGCAGTTTTAGAAAGTAGAAAACCAGAATTGAGAAAAGGGGGAAGTGATTAATCTCAGTTCTAAATCTTGCCATCTCAGAATCAACAAAGGTTTGTTTCCAGTGAAAGAAGACAAGTCTACTGAAGAAAATAGACATTCCCCGCAGGCAGTGGGCTGTTGGAGAGGTTCAAAGAAATGATGACATGTTGGAAACAAAGATGATTTGGTCCTGCCTTGCCAAGATTTCTCCCCGTCACTGGCTTCTAGGGAGTATGAGTCTTCGTTGTTTTATCTACAAAGTATATTAGGGGCTGGAGTGATTATACATCAGGTAGGGTGTTTGCCTCGCAAACAGCTGACCTGGGTTCAATCCTAGGCCTCCCATATTGTCCCCAGAGTACTGCCAGGAGTAATTCCTGAGTGCAGAGTCAGAAGTCAGGAGTAACCCCTGAGCATTGCTGGTTGTGGAAAAAAAAAAACCAAAGAAGAAAAGTGTATTAAAATAATTTAAAAATTCTGAGAAATTTCAGTGATGTTGGGAACTTTTCAGAGACACTGATTTTTTGCATATTGCTAAAGAAAACTTTTTCAAATTGGGGTTTGAAGTATTAGGAACTAATGGTTTAGAATCAGAATCATTGGCAAAATCATTTATTTTGCATATTATTTTTTTAAAATACCTAGAGAGAGTCGTAGAAAGATATTGGCATTTTGGTGATGAGTGTAGTATCATAACTTTGAATTCCTACTGCCTAAATATTAATATTATCAGCTATGCATTCTCAATAGTGTCTCTTTAAAAAATTAAAAATAATAAATGGAATTTCTACTGTTACATGGGCCGGAGTGATAGCATAGTGTGTAGGGCATTTGCCTTGCATGCAACCAGCCTAGGTTCAATTCCTCCACCCCTCTCAGAGAGCCCGGCAAGCTACTGAGAGTATCGCACCCACCCAGCAGAGCCTGACAAGCTGCCCGTGACATATTCGATATACCAAAAACAGTAACAAAAAGGCTCACAATGAAGACTTTACTGGTGCCCGCTCGAGAAAATCCATTAACAATGGTAGGACAGTGCTACAGTGCTACTGTTACACAATGGAATTCCTACTGTTACACACATAAAATGTTATGTCAGTATTTTATGGATAAATACTAAGACTTCTGACTTAACAGAGTTAATAAATAAGTAAGCATAGGTGTAATTCAGCAAGAATAAACATCTGTTCTTCTCTCAGTTCCCTATAGATTCTGGTTTGTCTCAGTCTCTTTCCTTCTGCTGTTCTATGAGGATCTGGACCACCCCTTTGGAATCTCTGAAATAAAATCCAGGGTGTGGTGGGGGAGAAAAAAGAATATGAAGAACAAAGACATGAGAGTGTCTGGATGGATTTAAGGAATATTGGGCATATAGTGACCAAGTGTATGAAAAAGGAGAAATTGATATTTTAAAAAATTTCTTGAGCCCCTCCATGCATTTTGAAAATATGCAAGTGAAAACAGTGCAGTTGATTCTTGAACAACACAGAGGTTAGGGGTATAGATCCTCTGTGCAGTGAAAGTTCCAAACGTAATATTGACTTCCCCCAAATTTAACTGCTAATAGCCTACTGTTGCCCAGAAACCTTACCAGTAAAGTTTGTTTACATTTCTTTCAACTGTATGTGGCAAGATGCTGTGTCTATTAGGGACTCAAATTGCTTCTGTAAGATTTAATAAATTATAACGTTTATAATCAGGCTGGAGCGATAGCATAGTGGTAGGGTGTTTGCCTTGCAGGCAGCCGACACAGCCGACCTGAGTTCGATTCATTCGCCTCTCTCAGAGAGCCTAGCAAGCTACTAAGAGTATCTCGCCCGCATGGCAAAGCCTGGCAAGCTTCCCGTGACATATTCAATATGCCAAACACAGTAACAAGTCTCACAATGGAGATGTTACTGGGCCAGCTCAAACATATCGATGAACAATGGGATAACAGTGCTACAGTGCTACTACCTGAAGCTTTATAATTTGTATATATTTATAGTGTAGTTTATGTATCTGTGAAATCCCTCATACTTTCTTAATTTACACACACACACACATATATATAACTATGTATGTGCATATATATATTATATATATATATAAAGTCTTATTATTTTGAGATCACACCCACTGTGCTCCAGGCTTACTCCTGTGCTCAGGGATCACTTTTGACTATGCTCAGGAGACCATATGATGTGCTGGGTGTCAAACTGGGGTTGACCACATGCAAGGCACACACCTTAACTGCTGTACTATTTCTCGGGCCTCATTTAAAAAAAAATTCCTAAACTCCATAGTTTGTGAGTTTTCCCCAATTGTCACAGACCTTCACATTGTATAAGATCTATGACCAATGTAGTTTGAGGATCCCACAGTTTTTGAAGTTGGTCTTTGAAGGCCTTGATCCCTGAGACTGAGCCACAGGTGTTGCTACTTTATACAGATAACCGGACTGTTGGCCAATAGAAGCGAAACTGTTCAATCCGATGTTCCTCGCATAGTTATCAGCTGCCTTCATCCCTTCCCTAAGACAAAAGGCACCTGGCTACAGCAGAAAGGGGAGGAGAAAAGGATGAAAACATTGTTCTGAGTGACACACTCGTTTCGGTCTGTAGATGGAAACTCATTAGTAAGTAGTGAGAGCGTGGATTCATCCCAGGCAAAATTCAGTTTTCTGGTGTGAGTGAATTGTGATTTCACTCTGATGAAAACTGTAGAAAGAAAACAATGATGGTTCACCTCACAAAAGCTCACTCTTTGCTTTTGGCTGTAAATTTTGATAGATACTACAGATACTACCAAATTAGGAATGGTAGTCTTAGATTATTTTAATGCAAGTTTTTGTTTTGTTGTGGGAGCCATTGAATAAGGATGACATTTGGAAAGTTCTCCTGTGTTTTACAACATCCAGGTTTGCATGAAAATAATGAACACAGACCTAATGCTGTCTATTTTCCCCAAAGAGCTACTTGCCTTCTAGAACTATTCCTTCCTGGGTGTCATTTTGATCCATCCCAGTTGCAAGTCTCTTGTCATTAGCAGACCGAAAGGCACAATGTATCACAACAAATGGCTTACAATGCTAATAATAATAACGATGAATTCTCATACCTGTAAATCCGACATCACACACATCACCAGTGTACCAACTCCTTTTCCCAAGGACCCCAACACCCCTCCCTCCTAAGCCCCCAACTCAATTGCGGATCAGTTTTCCCATCATGCTGCCTTTGACTTTTTGTCACTACCTTGCTGTGTATCTTAAGCCCCACAATGAGAGATCATTCTGCATCTGTCCCTCTCCTGCTGGCTGACTTCACTCAGCATGACATCCTCTAGTTCCATTCATGTTACTACAAACTGCAGGATTTTCTTCTTTCTTCAGCTGTGCTTACACAATTTAACTGTTATGCTAATGCACACTTTGGTCCCAGTGTTTGCCGGAGGTCACACATCTTGGAAGCAGTGCTCACACACACTTGATTGTGGTGAGCTGGAAATTTCACATTTGTTACATTAGGGGCTCACAAACTGCAGTGATGCTGGGATCTCTCTTACCGTGTTGGCAGTGTTGGGGAATTGGGGAAATGCATGGTCCTAGGAGGGTGAAGCAGGTGCTTTACTGCTGAGATATACCTGGACCCTATAAAATCATCTCTTTTTTTGGTGGGAGAGAGGAGGTTGGAGCTATACCTGGTAGTGCTTGAGGACTGTTCCCAGCTTAATATTTGGGGGTCACTTCCAGCAGGGTTAGGGGACCATATGGTAGCAAGCATACAACCAAACAGGGCCTCTTGCATGAAGCCCATGAGTTATTTCTGCAGCTCTTAAAGCACTATTAAGTGGAAATTTCTATATAAGTTTATGGCAGTGATGAAGATATCATCATCATACAATTATTAGGTCATATTTACCTCGACAATCAGTCATTTTAATCCTGTAAGTCAGGTCCATAAAATATCTTAAAATATTTTCTGGGAAAAACTAAAGATACTTATATTTCCATAATTTATACACAAAATTTATATACATCAGAATTATTCATGTGTTTCACTGTCGAAAGTATATAAAATCACACATTTCTACATGTGATACTGATATAGTCAGAGATATTTGTGCAACAATTTTTACACTTGAATGAAGCTCTAAAAACAATGCTTATTTGGGTGAGAGGAGAGCTATCCTGTGAGAGAAGATTGCATATTAATATGAATCATGGACATCAGCTCAACATGTTGTAACCATTGGACTTTTGCAGCTGGGTTGTCTGTGGTGGGTCTCTGCAGTTTTCAGAAAATGTTTAAAAGTCAAACCACAATACAGAAGTTGGAAGAAAAACATATGTTTTGCCTTGGCTTTTCCTACTTTGATAATTTACCTTTGATGTATTATGAATCATGTGAAAGTATCCACTAAGTTCAGGCCCATTTCCTTTGACACTGCTTTCCATTGCAAGCATTCAAAAATGGCCTTTTGTACTTATCTTAGTGTCCCCATGTGTTTCATCTTGCAGGTCATAAGGTCTATGGATTCTCCGCCCTGAAAGACCAAGTAGTTACAGCAATAGAATATCAAGGTAGGAGTATCTCTCTGATTCTCATGGACTGTGTTGCTTGAATGACTGTTGACACGTGGTGTTTTGGATGCTGTTGAGAATCTCTGTCTCACCTTGTATTAACCCTCTACCGGAAGTGTTGCTTCTTGTTCTGTCTTGAGATCTTCTCCATACCTCAGCAGAAACTGTGGACATTTGATGAAAGATTACTATGCAAAAGTGTTTCTTTTACATCAATTCTCTGCAACAAAGGAAAGCTAACTTGTGAAACGGTGACATGGAACTCTTGTAAAGTTCCTAGTTAGTTCGCTTTCTGGCATGGGGGCCAGGGGGAAGGGGGAGAATTAAATAAAAGAAATGCAGATTCATGAGTTTGGGGGAGGAGTGGCAAATTAAATGAATAAGTATTTGATCAGATCTCACAATAGTACTTGGCATATAGCAAGTGTTGTCAGTGCTTGGCTAATAAAAAGAATCAGCTCCAAAATGACAAATGATCATTCAAAGATGACAAATCATGTACTAACAAACTGTTAAAATAATTATTTAGGTTTGTTTATTTTAAACCCTAGTGTTTTAATATGATTAAACTAATTAGAACTTCATTGTTGAGCGTTAGTTTAAAATGGGGAGGAGAGGGTGAGGCGATAGTACAGAAGGTAAGTTGTTTGCCTTGCTCGCAGCTGACCAGGTTCAATGCCCAGTATCTCATATGGTCCCTGAGCATCGCCAGGAGTAATGCCTGAGTGGCAGGGCCAGGAGTAATCCCTGAGCTCCACTGGGTGTATTCCCAAAACCAAAAGAAAAGAAAAGAAAATGGAGAGAGGTAGGAAAAAGAATTGATTGAATTGGGAGTAATGTGGGACTATGGAGAATTTAGAGGGAGGAGTAATAGAACTGGTTAAATGCCAGAAAAGGAGAATATGCAAAAACAAAAGAGAGGCCACAGAGGAAAAGATAGGTCAGCCAGGTTATCCACAGGACAAAGGAAGGGAAGTCAGTTTCCTTTAACTCTTACTTTCTGTTGTGTCCAATTAAATCTGAGTATACTCCCAGCCACCCATCCCTTGGTCATTTCTGATTTAGGACACAAATGACAAATCATCCTGTTAATTGTTGATTGCCTCGAGCAGGCCCCAGTCATGTCTCCTTCATTCTAGCCCTGGGATTATATTCAAGGCTCTTTAGGAGAATGAGACCCATCATTGTTACTGGTATTTGGCATATTTGGTACGCCACGGGGAGTTTGCCAGATTCTGCCGTGTGGGCAGGCTACATTCGGTAGCCTGCCAATTTGTCCAAAGTAGGAATTTAGGACATCAAAATAATATGTTTACATTACTTTTTAAATTTTTATTAAGATTGAATTCACATTAATGTATCATTCATGATTTTTAAAATGAACAGTTTATTTTCTTTTTGTTAAAATGAACAGTTTAGTGACATTTAGTACATTAACTGTAGCTTCCAAAACATACCTCTGTTCAGTTCCAAAAGATTTTAATCATTACAGAATAAAACCCTCTAAAAATCCTGTACCATCTAGACTCCTGGTTGAGTGATTGATAGTGTGGTGGTTGGGACAGAACCCAAGGCCTAGTGCATGTGAGACCTGCACTACACCCTGAGATATCTCTCTGGCCCACATAACACTTTAACTAGTATTATTTTTAATGTAGAAAAATTCTTTTATAATTTATTGCAATTAAATACAATCCTCCCTCACAAATAAATATTCGCTTTTTTTAACCTCTGCTCTTTTCAATTAAAAATCAAATTTTAGAGAGCAGGGCAGTTGCCTTGCATGCACCTGGCCTAGGTTTAATCCCAGGTAACCCATATAGTTCCCTAGAACTTCCAGAAGTGAGCACAGATGCCAGGAGTAAACCCTGACCACCACTGGGTGTAGCTCAAAAACACACAAAATTTTTTTTTAATTTTAACTGTGTTCTATATGTGGTCCATTTATTTCATCGTAGCTCTCTATAAGGCAAATTTAATTTCATTTTCCTCACTTTAGTCTTAGGACATTTATGCAGCTACTTAATTTGATTAAAAGTTTAAATATCTTATGATGTGTAGATAGCTAGGTTATGTTCCACCACTTTGTTTTTTTCCTCTTGTTCTTTCAAGCTAGAGCAATAGCACAGAGGTAGGATGTTTGCCTTGCACGAGACCAATCCAACCAATCCGGGTTCAATTCTCGGAGAGCTCAGCAAGCTATCAAGAGTAACTCGCCCTCACGGCAAAGCCTGGCAAACTACCCATGACATATTCGATATGCCAAAAACAGTAACAACAAGTCTCACAATGGAGGCGTTACTGGGCCCGCTCGAGCAAATCGATGAACAATGGGAGGACAGTGACAGTGACAGTTCTTTTGATGTCAAAAGATCTTGGATTAGGGCTGGAGTAGTAGTATTTGCTTTACACGTGGTCGACCTGGGTTTGAACCCTGGCATCCCATATAGTCCCCTGAGCACCACCGGAAGTAATTCCTGAGTTCATAACCTCTGTGCATTACCAGCTGTGATCCCTCCCCCCTCAAAAAAAAGAGGTCTTGAACTTTTTCTTTTCAGTATTGTTGTTCTCTATCACTTCTCATAGTGGCCTAAAAGCAGAATCATAGTAAGTGACAGTAGCTTTAACGGGCCTGTAAATAAAATGATCAGCCTTCTGCAGAGGGGTCAGCCCTGAAACTTATAAATCAGAGCTTAATAGCTGCTTTTCCCTGAAGAAGTAATTGCTGGTAATTCTCTAGTACTTGGTAATACTATTGTCTTCTTCTGTCACGTAAGATTTTGAAGTTTTAAACTTGAATGCTATGAGAAAAAATCCTGATTATAATACCAATCCCTAGAAAAATTTAAATTCACAATAGTTCTATGTGAATCCTAAAAGTAACTATTTGCTAGTGTCCTTGCTAATGCTTTCTCTGAAAAAAGAAAAGTTACCCTTTCAATTAAAACAAAATAGCTATTTTCAGAAATGTCATAATCTTACAGAAATTGGACATTTTTCTGTTTTAATATATCATGGCTTGAGAAAATAAGATTCACATCTTTTCTTTCTTTGCTGCCTCAAAGAAAAATAACATTTTAGTTCAAGTTTGAAAATTGTTTAGCTAAATTTTAAATCTTTTCTCCTAATGACCCCTGTTCAACTGAGAAATCTGCACCCCGCTCTAGTTATATACACATATTTGGGTATGTAAAATAGGTGAGAAATCATTTACTGATCATAAACAATGAAGAAACTTACTTCAAAGCAATTTTTAAGTTACATGAGCCCATAAGGCGTTGTAACCTAGAGTTTAGGAAGTAAAACTCTGGGTTTAACTTGGGAACTGGAAAGACATTACAGCGGGAAGGGCACTTGCCTTACACACAGCTGCTCTGGGTTTGATCCCCAACAACTCATGTGGTATCCTGAGCCCGGCAAGAACAATCCTGAATGCAGAGCCAGGAATGATCCCTGACACAGCCAACACCCCCCTTCCCCCCGCCCCCCCCCCCGCCACACACAAACAAAATAAGTCGCGATGTACTATATGGGTTTCAATCATTCCCAGTAAGTTTACAACTGCCACTGGGAGAGGTTTCTCACATGTGATTGGAATAGTGACCTCTATCGAGCACTGAGTTTAGGAAAAGACCATATGAACCCCTATATGGAAATCCACATTGTGAGACGTCCCACTTTTTGAGACAAATATTTTTTTTCCTTTTGGGTCACACCTGGTGATGTGCAGGGGTTACTCCTGGCTCTGCACTCAGGAATTACTCCTGGTGGTGCTCAGGGGACCATATGGGATGCTGGGAATCGAACCCTGGTCAGCCGCATGCAAATGCCCTACCTGCTGTACTATTACTCCAGCCCCTGTGAGATGAATATTTTTCTTCACAACTACCACTGTTATAGATATGATGTCCAAAAACAGTAATTTGTGGCATGAAAAGATAGTATAGAGGTTCAGACCTTGTATGGAGCTGACCCCAGCTCAATCCCTCGCATGACAGGACCCCACGTCCTTGGTCCCTTATGTTGACAATTAGCCTCCTGAAGCACCTTGGAGCCCCCCATCCCAGCCCCCCGCCAAATCTCCAGTAACTTGCTTAATGTCACACATAAGTATTTTACAGAGTCAGTCCCCAAAACTTGGGCTTTAAACTACTAGATTGTGATCAACTCCACTTGCAGACTAATACAGAGAACAGCTGCCATCACAGGTGCTGAATTTTGTCCCCAAAGAGGGCTGAGCCACTTGGTGGTCCACTTCTGTTTTCTTTGGATCCTTTTGCCACAAATGGTCACCCCGTGATTCTGATGATATTTTTCGTGTTTTTCACAGTTCCCAGAGGTGGTATCAGCACCTAGCAATTAGGGACTCACTGTTCCTGTATGTGAACTAACTGTCCCGAAGTTCTACGTGGTGAATTTTCAATTCAAATTTGAGGACATTCAGAGTCCTGAAAATTGGAATTCTGGCTTTGAGACCTTTGGTGTAAAGATGTGACTCAAACTCCCCTCTTTTAAAAGTTGCCTCTTCTTCCAGCAACCTTGGGAGCCCCCCTTGCCCCTCCACCCCCAGCATTCCCAAGCCACCTATATACTGCTGTCTATTCTCACATCTCTCCAAACTCCCTGATGCACTATAGAATTCACTTTTTTTTCTTTTTGGGGTCACACCAGTGATACTCAGGGGTTTCTCCTGGCTCTGCACTCAGGAGTTATTCCTTGCGGTGCTCAGGAGACCATATAGTATGCGGGAATATAGAACCCGGGTCAGCCACATACAAGGCAAACACTCTCCCCACTGTAATATCACTCCCGCCCTAGAATTCACTCTTTTTTGTTTGTTTGTTTTCTTTTTGTGTCACATCTGGTGATGCACAGGGGTTACTCCTGGCTCTGCACTCAGGAATTACCCCTGGCAGTGCTCAGGGAACCATATGAGATGCCAAGAATTGAACTCGGGTCAATTGCATGCAAGGCGAATGCCCTCCTCACTGTACTATTGCTCCAGCCCTAGAATTCACTCTTTATGGTATTTCTGTTTGCGTATCTGTCTCCACTCAATCATAAGATCCAAAAGAGAGACTGTCCCATCTCTGGGTCCCCTCTGCCTATGATTATGTCTTTGCTACTTTCTCTTTTTATTAAATGAGCACTCACTTCGTCTTCCAGATCCTAAAAATCAGAACCAAAAATCAAAGGGCAAAGAGCAATGATCTTTTTATGACTCGGCGATCCACCTCAAGAACAGACATGGGCTCATCTCTGAGTAACACTCACGTCTGGATGTATTGCGTTGTCCAGTATTTTGCAACCTTTTTTTAACTGTTTTTTTTTTTAAGCTGTGGCCACTTTCTATCCTTATTTCCTTTCTGTGCTGGCCCCCTCCTCCTTCAGTTTGCCTCCGACTCTTGTGCGTGCTCCCCCCTCATTGATATGATTTTCACTGTGACCCCCATTTAGGGGGTCACAGTGAAAATGAAAACTGAGCCTTATGGTTTTCATTGAGAATGGGTGGAATAAAGCATTTCTGTACACTTTATATGATCAATATTAGTGAGCCTGGAAAGTTACCATGCTTAGGAAAAGTGTGTTGCTTGCATTTTTTTAAAAAAATTTTATTAGTGAAACACCATGAGGTACAGTTGTAGACTTACAAATTTTTGTGCTTGGGTTTCAATTATACAATGTTCGAGTACCCATTCCTCCACCAGTGCCCATTTTCCACCATCACTGCATTTTCAAATACAATTTCTACAAAAGTTTTCCATAGAGTCATAGGGTGAGAAATTAGGGAGAAATCACCGAAAGAATATGTGTGTGTGTTCTCTCTAGTTAAATATATAAAACAATGTGATTTTTGACAAAGATTATTTCTAGCACTGAGGAGTATGAGCTGAAAATGAGTGTGGGTGTGTATCTGTTGGAAACTCAACAAAATACGGGAAGGAAACCTATCTAAAACTTAAGACTCCGGAAGGTCACCGCCCATTCTCCTTAATCAACAGAACAGAACCAAGTTTCCTCAGACAAGTCCCTCAGCACACATTAGTCTTTGTAGCATAATTATAAACGCATCTGGAAAATGATAGTCTTTGTAATGCTAACCGTCCTTTAAAATTTATTGTCATCCTAAGAAACAGTTTTAGAATTTTTTAAATTTGCCATTCTTTTCTCTGCCTTACTTTCTCTTTTCCATTACCTTTTTTTGTTATTTATAGTAACTTGTGTGCAACTAAAAAAATTTTTTTTAAACAATATACATTTGCTAAAAAGGAAAAACCATAATTCTATCACAGAGGAATTGTGGCTGAGTGATTATGTTCATGCATACTCATCCAAGATTTTTGCCATAACTATGTGTATATTTTAATAAAATCTTAGATAATATTATAATATAATATTATGAGACCCATTAATGTTATTGTTATTGTGAACTTACTGGCACCCACTTGAGTAAATTGATGAACAACAGGATGACAGTGATACATTGATTATAATATTATATGGCTAGTTCATTATATCATACATAATGTCCTTTTTTTAAGGTAAAGGTAAAAGGTAAAGGCCCCCCCGTTGATCGTCGATTTGCTCGAGCGGGCCCAGTAACGTCTCCATTGGAGACTTTGTTGTTACTGTGTCTGGCATATCGAGATACTCTCGGTAGCTTGCCAGGCTCTCCGAGAGGGGCGGAGGAATCGAACTCGGGACGGACATGTTGGCCGCTTGTAAGGCGAACGCCCTACCGCTGTGCTATCGCTCCAGCCCTTTTTAAAAATATTATTAAATCTGCTTCACATCAAAATCAAAGATATGACAAGGAGTTTAGTTAATCTTCTCATCAAAGTCACTATACTTTTTAGGTAAAATGCATTATGGATCAAAAAACAGTTCTTGGAAGTATGAAACTGACCCTGTGAAGAGCCCAAGTGAAATGTATTTTTAATATATTTTTACTTGGAGGTTTCCATTTGGCAACTTAGCAGTTGGCAGGCAGTGGCTGGATTTCCCTCTCAGTCACCTTGTTTAGGAGTCTAAGGATTGCTTTCAAGTCCTAGAAATTCTTGAATGACTTATCTGCAGTAAATTTCCTGTATAACGAGACCTTTGTAAACTGCTCTGAGGCAGTTAAACATGATGCCAAGATTAAATATTTTTATAGTTTGGGGATTAAGGTAAGATATATGAATCAGCAATTTATCGGACAACCATATCAGATTAGTAAGAATGTATTCAAAGAGAGGGTAATGAAAGAAGGGATCTAAGGAATGGAACCCAGGTCGGCCACATGGAAGGCAAGCGCCCTACCAGCTGTGCTGTTGCTCCAGCCCCGAGTTTCGATTATTCTATCACACTAAACTAATACCTCTAATCTCCTTGAAGGTGGTGGCTGAAGAATAAGATAAATAATCATAGCTGCTATTTTTAAAGTACCTGCTAGACCAGAGAGATGGTACAGAAGTTAAGGCACTTGCCTTGTATGCAGCTGTCCCCAGTCAATTCCCAAAGCTACATATGGTTCTCCAAGTACTCCCCAGGACTAATCTTTGAGCACAAATACAGGAGTAAGGCCTGAGCACTGCCAGATAAACCCCCCAATCAAGCAAATAAGAAAAATAAAGTACTTACTAAGTCTAGGCATGCATGCTTTGCCCATGATTGGATTTGAATGCATAAGCAAACCCTGTGAGATACTCTCTTATATTATATGTAGTAACTGAGGATCATGAAGTCATAAAAGCATCAGTGTCGCACATGGAAACTATAAGCCATCAGTCAGTCTTTGAGTTAAACCAACCTGGTGCATGTTATAGTAATTGATGAGTGCCCAGACAAATGAATGAATGAACGAATGAATGAATGAATGAATGAATGAATGGAAACTTCAAGGGATAACTTCTAAGGATACCTAAAACATAGACTAGTAAAATAAAATATCATAGGAACCATTCAAAACTAAGATTTCTTTTTTGTTATCCCAGAGGTTATTTTAGCCTGCAAATATCCAAAGAAGACCACTTCCTCCAGATTAGAGTGGAAGAAGCTGGGGCGGAGTGTCTCCTTCGTCTACTATCAACAGTCTCTTCAAGGTAAGAAGCTCTAGACCGGATGAGGTGAGCACATGAGAACATCAAGTACCACCCACTCCTCTCATTGGCAAATGAGAACAGCGCCTGACTGATTACTGAAAATGTGTTTTTGAAAGTGTGAGATGAAACCTATAATGACTTAGATTTGGAACAAGACAGTTCCAAGGAAAGGACAGAGAATAGAAGCAGTTGAACTCATCGTGTCCCAAGGTCCTTCATTTCTCAGCTTACTCCTGCAGGATGCCAAATATAGTTGTTCTTGCTGGTCCAGTAGAGTTACTTTTAGAGAGAAAGGAAGAAAAGATGATGTAGTGTTGGACGTAGGGTTACACTCATTTATACTCACTGTACTCCATTTCCATATCTCCATCTGGAAACTGGCCATCACTGAAATGTTTAGGGAATTTTATGGCTCATGGGGAAGGAAATATTCTTACCTTGATTCAGGATTTTCTTTTAAAAAATTTGTTGGGGCTGGAACAATAGCACAGTGGGTAGGGGTTTGCCTTCAGCATCCCATATGGTCCCCCGAGCACAGCTAGGAGTAATGTCTTAAGTGCATGAGCCAGGAGTAACCCCTGAGCATTAATGGGTGTGACCCAAAAAAAGCAAAAAATGCCAACATGGCCAACCCGAGTTCGATTCCTCCGCCCCTCTCGGAGAGCCTGGCAAGCTACCGAGAGTATCTCGCCCACACGGCAGAGCCTGGCAAGCCACCCGTGATGTATTCGATATGCCAAACACAGTAACAACAAAATCTCCAATGGAGACGTTACTGGGCCCGCTCGAGCAAATCGATGAATGAAATAAAAATTAAATTAAAAATTTGTTATTGTTGTTAAACATTTCTTTCTAATCCTACTCTTTGGACTGAATATATGATCAGTTTTGATTTAAAGTGTTTATAATGATTGACAAAATACCATGATTTCTAGGATTTGCTTCCAAACAATCTGTAGAGCTGCAATAAAGTATGCCGTGAATTGATTACTGAGTAACGGATGTTGTTGAGGCTCATTTGAATGTGTCTCAATAATTTATGTATTTGTGAAATTTTCCATTATGAATATTTTGAAAGTTATAAGTCTAATAAGTACAATAACTTTATTATGTTAAAATTCATTATATTGTTTTAATTTTTAAAGAATTAAATGAGTAAACAGATGTTTTAGGTTCCGAGGAAAATTAAAATACCCCTCTGTCAAAATTAGATGCAGACAGCAGAATGTCAGTAGCAAAATTGTCTTTACTTGAATTTTCAACAGTTGCAAATTCTTACAATTGTACCTTATAGAAAGCACTACTTTAATTCCATGCCCATTGCCATCAAAAACTGGCCAAAAGAATATTTTAAAGACTCCTTCAATTAGGGGCCAGAGTAATAGTACAGTGGATAGGGTGTTTGTTTTGCACATGACAAAACTGGGTTTTGTCACCTGTATCCCAAAGGAACCCCCAAGCCTACCAGGAGTGATCACTGAGTGCAGTGCCAGGAGTAAGTCCTATGTACAGCGAGGTATGGCCCAAACCAGAGAAGAAAAGGAAAAACTTCCTCAGCTGTGTGTGTGTGTGTGTGTGTGTAGCAGTATCATCTGGCTACCACACATAAAATTCCTGCTGTGGCTAATTTAACTTCAGTTCTTCCATATCTTTTGAAAATGGGAATATTCTTACAAGGGTCCCTGAAACAAGATGAAGCAGGAAAACAAGTTGAATTCTCTCAAGTGAAATATAGAAACATGGAACTAGATATTCTTTGTGAATTGTTTCTCATTCTAAAGCATGTGTTTTAAATAGTGGCACCCACACGCTTTGTTGTTGTTGTTTTTGAAATTACATTTATAAATACCAGATGCTTTGGTTACTGCAGGAAATGACTAGAGAAACATAAGAAACAGTTACTTTGCTCAGGGCCTGACCCCTGGGAGGTGTTGGACTCATCCAGATGGAGCCAGTAGACTTGCATACAATTGTGGGGGGTGCTTTCTGTTTGCATAAAGAAAGTCAAAATCCTGGGGGTGTTGATTAATTTCTTAAATGGGTTATCATACTTTGAAATAGTAGTTTAGAAAGTTTTTTTTTATGTTATTATGAACCTCACTTTCATCTTTTCCTAAAAGGTGATTTTAAAAAACGAGCTGAGATGATAGATTTCAGTATACGGATCAAAAATGTTACCAGAAGAGACGCTGGGAAATACCGTTGTGAAGTGAGTGCCCCATCGGAGCAAGGCCAGAATCTGGAGGAGGACACGGTCACTCTGGAAGTCCTAGGTGAGGTACTTGTACCTGTGCTCTTGCCACTTCCGCCTCAGTCGCCCAGCACTCAAGGCAATGAAGCAAATTGAATGCCCCAGTCAGCAAAGTGACAGAAATAACCATCACAATTCATGATCAGAAATTCATTGGAAATGAAAGTAAAGCTTAATCATCCTCTAATACACACAGAAGCATGTCTACCAACAGTTTATTTTTGAATAGCTTCCAACCTCAGTAGTCTTTCTCCTACCATAAAAAAGAAATGGTATTAGGAACCCAAGAGCTAGTGCAGGGACTAAGGCACTTGCTCTGTACACAGCATCTGCAATTCAGACCCCAGCACTGCATATAGTCACTTGAGCGTCACCAGGAGTAATCCTTGAGCACCACCAGATGTGGCCCCAAAATAACAACAAAAAGTATCAGACCTGGAGTGCAGCTCAAGTAGTAAAGCACATCCCTGTGTGTGTGTATTCCCTACATTAGCTGTGACTCCCCGAGGTCGGCCAGGAATGTCTCCCATGGTAGAAGCCAGAACAACTTGGAAGCATCACATTAGTGGGTGAAAAGTAATAAAACAAGCCAGGGATGTGGATAAGTGATAGAGCATTTGCCTAGAAAGTTTAAGGCCCAATGTTTGATCCTTGGCACTTCTGAGAAAAAGAAAAGAAAAAAGGAATAACAGGATTTGGGCCAGAATCTGGATGTGGATCCTGATGGAGTTAACTCCAATTCCAATGTGTAGTTTTATAGTTGCTCTAAGAATCACTTGTGTATAAAATTTATGATGACAACTTATAAAAGAGCATGATATTTTGTACTTCGTGGATGTACATAAAAACTAAAAAGCAAAGAGAATAAAATAGCTCATCTTCCTCTTTTGATATAGTACCAGGTCTCTCTGCTAGTGATATGAGTACAGACCAAGTATAATAACAAAAATATTATAAGAGACTCAGTTGGTATGCTAATCTTTTGTTGCTTCATAAAAAATGATCTCAAATTTAGCATCTTAAAACAATTCCAGTGTCCTAGCTCATAGTTTTCCAGGATAGTTGTTCAGTTCATGGTTGGGTTCTCTGCCCAAGGAATGACCAAGCCGCAATCAAGGGGTCATCTCAAATGATTTCTTTTGTCTGGCTCTGATGGGATATTCTCTTTCCATATTATTCTTGGCATTGGAAGATTTCATTTCTTTGATTTGTGGAATTGCAGTCTTTATATGAACTGAGAGTGATATTCAACTTCTAGAACCACCTACTTCCTTTCCACTCGACTTCTCCATCTTTGGTCTAGCCAAAGACTGTTCAGTCCTCTCGCAGTTCAGTTCTCTGCCTTTCCTCTGACTACTCAAAAGACTACTTTGAAAGGAGTTATGTCGGACCACCTATGTAATCTCCATATTTTAAAGAGAATGCATCTGCAACTTCAACTATAACTTCCCTTCAATCTTTAAAGCAGTACCTAGATTGTGTTTGAATGAATTTAATTTGAATAACTGAAAATACATACACACACACACACACACACATACACAACACACACACACACACACACACAGGTACACCAGACTGGAGAACTTGAAGTCATCCTGACATCTCGATCATCCTGACATTCTGAGTTTAAGTCATCGGGTAATGGTATGATTTATTGTATAGACCTCTGGGAGCAGATGAACCCTATCTCAGGTTTTCTCTAAAGTGGCCAGTCCTAGGCAGAATAGGAAAAAATCTGAATTTTTCAGACCAGTCCTGGAAAATCTCAAGTTGACTTCTTATGAACATAGTTGGCAATACAACACTAAAACATTGATAAGGAAACAGTAGAAATAGTATATTCAAGAAAGAACAGCTGTGTTATTAGCTAATGTAATGCTTGTAGTAAAAAGGATTCTTGAACTTTCAGTGAATTATTCAACATAATAGACACTTCTTTCTGTGCAAATAAAAAGGCTTAAGAGTTTAATCAGAGCTCCCTTGGAGAATAGGGTGCTCTGTTGGTATAACAGAGCTTTATTACTCCACTTCATCAAGTCATGAGAAACCCAACCTAATGTAGAACATCAGTTCATGTCATCAATACTTGACTTTCGAAGATGTGAATATCATGATTGACATTGAGACCTTGGTTGTGGGAAGGGGGGTGAGGGAAGAGTGAGTGAATGAAGGTGCATGTAGGAAGCTTTTATATGTATAAAGTCAGGAAATTGTATATATCACTTTTCCCTGCATGCCATTGGCCAGAATTCACGGCAAACAACCTATTGAACTGTTAGGAGGCTGGCAAGTATGATTGAGCTGTGTGCCCATAAAGAAAAGGAATGAGGGCTGGAGTGATAGCACAATGGGTAGGTTGTTTTCCTTGCATGCAGCTGACCCAGGTTCAATTCCCAGCATCCCATATGGTCCCCTGAGCACCGCCAGAAGTAGTTCCTGAGTGCATGAGCCAGGAGTAACCTCTGTGCATTGCCGGGTGTGACCAAAAAAGAAAAAGAAAAAAAGGAAAAAGAACAGATATCTTGAACCACTCATCAGTCTCTTATGACAGGTGCTCAGTAAGTCCACCTTTTGGGGCTATAGTAAAGTCCTTGTAAAGCTTCTAACTAACCAGTATTCTCTGACGTTCATCCACTAGTGGCACCAGCGGTTCCATTCTGTCAAATCCCTAATTCTGCTCTGAGCGGGACTGTGGTAGAGCTGCGATGTCATGAAAGAGAAGGGAATCCGGCTCCTGAATACACCTGGTTTAAGGACGGCATCCGTTTGCTGGGAAACCTAAAGCGTGGCTCACACGGCACCAATAGCTCATACTCAGTGAATACAAAATCTGGAACTCTGGTAAGCTGGTTTAAAGCATCAGCCTGATCTTTTTTTTTTTCCGCTTAAGTTTTAAAAAATGATGATTATGATGAGACGTAATTCAGTAGAGAAAGGAAGACTAATCCCCTTGCTTGCTGTGTAGAGAAAAAGAGAGGACAGTTGGACAGATGGTGATACACATAGAGATGTAATAGAAGGGCTGAGACAGGAGTGGAAAGACCATAGAGAGAGCCAGGTCACTAAGCCTACATGGGTCTCCATCAATGGACTAAAGAAATGTCAGGGGTGGGGCTGGAGCAGTAGCACAGTGGGTAGGGCGTTTGCCTTGCATGCCGCTGACCCAGGTTCAATTTCCGGCATCCCATATGGTCCCCTGAACACTGCCAGGAGTAATTCCTTAGAGCATGAGCCAGGAGTAACCCATGTGCAATGCCAGGTGTGACCCAAAAAGCAAAAAATAAAAAAATGAAAATGTGAGTGGAATTTTTGATGATTAATCGGACTGTTTTCCTGGCCTGGAAAGGTGCTAGGTATAGTCACATGATCTCAGAAACATGGTAACTGGTTTGGGGATGCCCAAACTCGGTTGTAATGATCATCATCAACCTTTGATGGGATCGCTGTGTGCTTTCAGCTCTGTCGTGGTCAGGTTACCCACAGTTTGCCCTGTGACTTGACTATCTTTAGATTTAGTGCTGATTTTATGATTGCCTCCACCCCACCCCAACCTCCCCTAAGACACCTTGATTTGAGCTAGAGAGATACATGCATGCATGAAGAGCATACTTTGCCTTTGGTTGAATCCCTAGCACTGCATGCCCCCCCAGCACAGCCAAGAGCAATGGCCTAGCTCAGAGCCAGGTGGAGCCCCTGAGCAATGCCAGTTTGGTTCCAAAACCAAACAAACAAAATATCTTGGATAAGAAAATATTCCTTTTAGGAATATTGATAGAAACCTGTGAAATAGCTCTTTAGACATTTAAATAGCTCTTAAAGGCATTTAAAAATGTAAAGCACGGGCTGGAAAGATAGTACAGTGGGTAGAGTATTTGCTTTGCACAGGACTGACCTGGGTTCCAGTGAATCCTGGCATCCCTGAGCCTGCCAGGGATGGTTCCTGAGTGCAAAGCCACAAGTAACCCCCGAGCAGTGCCAGGTATGCCCCCCCCAACAAAAACCTAATAAATAAACATTAAAAATGTAAAACAGGGGGCTGGAGCTATAGCACAGCAGGTAGGGCATTTGCCTTGCATGCGGTCAACCCGGGTTCGATTCCCAGCATCCCATATGGTCCCCTGAGCACCCCCAGGAGTAACTCCTGAGTGCAGAGCCAGGAGTAACCCCTGTGCATTGCCGGGTGTGACCCCAAAAAAGCAAAAAAAATGTAAAACATTGTGACTTTTGACCTGTGATTTTTTTCAGAGTAGACACAGGAATAGAAAGTATTACATGTACATAATATATGTAGTATTTAATCTTAAAGCTGTTTTTCAGGGTCAGAAAGAATAGTACTGCAGATTGGACGTTTGTATTCTATGCCACTAACCTGGGTTTGATCCCTGGCATCCCATGTGGTCGCCTGAGCACTGCAAGAATTTGGATACAGAGTCAGGAGTAACCCCTAAGCACCGCCGGCTGTGGCCCAAAATCAAACCTAAAAAAGCATTTTTTTCTTCAAGATTATATAAATTTGAATCAAAGTTGAAAAATATCTGATTCCCCCAAGTACAGAATTGCTATCCTGTTATTCAGAAATATTAATGTCAGGGCAACAATCATCATTGTAATGAATTTTAAAAGGAGGATCCAAGGATACAATGTCCCCATTCATTTTTTCAATCTGCAAGCACACAGTAACATCTAAGCGCCAGAAACACTCTGATTAATAATAAAGTGTATGGATGGAGTGGTTAAATAATAAAGCAAATTGTAGGAAGTGGCTATTTCTTTTTTTTTTCCTAATAAAGCAAAATAGTTTATATCGAAATGCCCTTACAGAAGTGTGGCAGGAGAGAAAGACAGAAATACTGTTCGGGAGAGAACACGCCCCTCCCTGGGAGAAGGCCAGCCTCTGGCCTTGGCAGTGTCACCATCGAGAGTCAGCAGGTCCGAGTAATTTGACACCAAGAAACTGGGCAGAAAACCTGCCGTCACACTTTGCTATATTTACTTTTCAAATGTATTTCTTTCCCAGAGCAGGTGATTAAAGCCCCAAGGCCAGTCTGCAATGATATAGGTTCTCTTTCCTCAGTTAACCCCAACCCTTGAAATATCTGGTGATGGCAAAAGAAAGTCCCAGGCTGGACCTCGGATTGGTTATTTACTGAGAAAGGGGTGACATAGATTCCGGGAGGCTGAACAAGCTCCCTTGTACAGTTGCAATGTACAGCAAAAGGTTGCTGTAGAGATAGAACAGTAGGGAGGACACTTCCCTTGCATGCGATTGACCAGGGTTCGATACCCAGCATCCCATATGGGTCCCTGAGCACCACCAGGAGTGATTCCTGCTGACAGAGTCTGGAGTAACCCCTGAGCACCTCTGGATGTCACCCCAAACCAAAACCAAACAAAAAATATCAAGCAAAAAGCCAATATACTGGATGAACCTTTTGAGTTTTGGTTTTATTCTTAATTCCCATATATAATCTTATCCTTGAGTTCCTGGGTGAATGTTTCAAAGTATTCTGGCTCTTTGGAAGAGTGAGAGATGACTCTAGGAAAATTAAGGAAGGGGAGCTGGAGCAAAGGGACAGTGGGTAGGGTGTTTGCCTTGCACAGGACCAGCCCAGGTTCAATCTCCAGCATCCCATTTGATCCCCTGAGCACTTCCAAGAGTAATTCCTGAGCGTAGAGCCAGGAGTAACTCCTGAGCCTTGCCAGAAGTGATCCAAAAATCAAAACCAATAACAAAACTTAAAGGAGGAAAAAGCATCAACCCCGTGTTAATGTACAAAGAAAGGAGAGGTATGGAGGTCCCAGGGGAAAACAGTGAGGGGCGGGGGCTGGAAAGATGATACTATGGGTGGCACTTGCCTTGCTTGAAGAAAACCAGGTTTGATCCCCGGCACCCAATATGGTCCTCCAAGCTCCAGCAGAAGTGATCCCTGAGTGCAGAGTCTTTAGGAAGCCCTGGGCACCACCAGCTGTGGTCCCAAACCAAAACAAAAAAACAATGGGGACAAAAAAGGAATAAATAGATCCAAAGTCAGGGCTGGAGCCATTTGCTCCATACAGAGGGGAGGCTGTTTGCCTTGTACACAGCCGACCTAGGTTCAATCCCAAGCATCCCATATGGCTTCCCAAGCATCACCAGGATAATTCCTGTGTGCAGAGCCAGGAGTAACGCCTGTGCATCACTGGTGTGACAAAAAAAGCAAAACCAAAAAAAAAAAAAAAGCCATATAAAGTCTTGCCTGTTTTTAAGAACAAATTTTACAAAAGCACTCTAGGCATTGAAGGGGTACTCTGTTTTTTTTTTTAAAGAAATATTTGTTTGGGCAGGTTTTTATTTGGGGAGCTATTTTGTGAGGGAGACCCCCAAGCTGTGCTCAGGAATCATTTCCCAGATGTGCTTGGTGTACCACACAGTGCCAGGAACTGAGTACACTAGGGTGAAATGGAAGTACTCAGTTTCCTGTATTAGCTCTCCAGCCCAATGAAGGGTGCCCTTTCTCGGTCACCCCACTCCCAGAGATTTTTCAGAATATCTACAATGGATGGATTCTGCAATCCCCTAAACTACATTGATGAGGATTTTCCTAGGCCCTGAGTTCCTTCACCTCCCCTGTGGTAACTGAGCTCCTAGGAAAAAGTGTTAATTGTTTGCTACTGCAATAAACACATTTTGTGACTTGGAAAAAAAGTGCGTTAGTCTTTTTAGGCCGTGGAGGAATTCATTTATAACTAGAGTCCCTAGGAATTAGAAAGAACTAGCATCCTTAATGTTATAGTGTGCTATTATCTTTTTAAAAGTTCAGTCACCTAACCAGACAGTATTCTTACACTGTGTACACAAAAGGGAACTTCTTCAAACAGTTCTTGGGTTGTCTAATTAAGTAGAAGGTTTAGCTGTTTATTGCTCAAAGCTGTTGCAGATTTGAAACTTCATAGTACAGCTATAAATGCCTGTGTCATAGGAAAGGAGAGAACAACTTCATGCTAAATTCCAAGTGCCAGGGAGCCAGAGCAATAGTATAGCAGATGGGGCATTTTCCTTGAATGCAGTCAACCTGGGTTCAATTCCCAGTATCCCATATGGTCTTTTGAGCACTGTCAGGAGTAATTCCCGAATGCAGAACCAGGAGTAACCTCTGAACATCACCAGGTGTGATCCAAAAACCAAAAAACTAAATCCGTGCCAAGGTTATTTTAGGAGCCTACTTATCATTGATTGCTTAAGAAGGGTATGTATTTCTCCTTCAATACACAGCAATTCAACACTGTTTCAAAACTGGATAGCGGCGAATATTACTGCGAAGCTCGTAATTCTGTTGGACATCGCAGGTGTCCTGGGAAACGAATGCGAATAGGTAAGTGTGCAATAACATGGAGGAGAAAACGATGTGCATTTAGAGTATGCAAGCATTGGGGGTTGCAGGGGTGAGGAGTGGAGAGAAATAAGGAGTAACCCATGGCCGAGTGGTTTTAAAAAAGGAGGGAATGTTTGCAATTAGTTTGCTGTTATATTTCACAAAAAGCAAACATGTTGTTGCTCTGTCTCTCAAATAAGCCAGAACTTAGCATTCTATTTCACAAACATTTGGATCTTTCAAATCATGGTTTTAGAAGTGTATTGTTCTGATGCGTTTTAGAAGCGTATTGTTCTGATGCCGGGGGCAGTGAAGGGGAGTGGGCAGGCAGCAAGACCTCACACATGCCAGACACATGCTCAGCCACTGAGCCACAACTCTCAAATAATTGTTTTTAAAACAAATTCATATGATTTCTATTTTTTTATGGATTTTTGTTTGCTTTGGGGTCACACACGCTGATGCTCAGGGGTTACTCCCTTGCTCTGTGCTCAGGAATTATTCCTGGTGGGCTCGGGAGGACCGTATGGAATTCCAGGAATCAAACCCAGAACTGCTTCGTACAAAGCTAATGCCCTACCTGCTGTACTATCTCACCACCCCACCCCAAACCCCTTTTTTTAGGGGCTGGAGCAATAGCACAGCGGGTAGGGCGTTTGCCTTGCACGCGGCTGACCCGGGTTCAATTCCCGGCATCCCATATGGTCCCCTGAGCACTGCCAGGAGTGATTCCTGAGTGCGAAGCCAGGAGTAACCCCTGAGCATCACCGGGTGTGACCCAAAAAGCAACCCCTTTTTTAAAATGGTCTTATAAATTGCTCAGGGTCAAGAATACATATCCAGGCTCACATCCTTACCCTGGAAACTGGGGTGTGATTGAATGGGAGAGCGCCTTCCTTGCAGGCCTGAGGCTGAGAGTTAGAAGCAGCACTGCCCCAGCCCGTGACACTGCTGCTTGTGACGCCCAGTCCCACGATCAAGTGTGTGATCTCTACCACACCGCAACTGCTTGAGCACTATAACCAAGTGTGCACAACCCCTGGTTTCCACAACAGCAAAGGGGAAAAAATGAGAGAAATACATGCTCTGCCACTTATTAGCTACACACTTTTACGCAAGTTATTGTATCACTGGCTTCAGTTTCCCCAACTGAAATAATATGCCCTTTTCATAAACTTTTTATGAAGATGCAGATAATCAGTGTTTAAAAGTATTAGAATATTACCGGTACACTGTGAGTACTTTGGGTATGTTCTCATCAGTTTGTAACAACAACAATAAAGGTAAAGGTAAAGGCCCTCCCGTTGATCGTCGATTTGCTCGAGCGGGCCCAGTAACGTCTCCATTGGAGACTTTGTTGTTACTGTGTCTGGCATATCGAATACTCTCGGTAGCTTGCCAGGCTCTCCGAGAGGGGCGGAGGAATCGAACTCGGGTCGGCCATGTTGGCCGCTTGTAAGGCGAACGCCCTACCCGCTGTGCTATCGCTCCAGCCCAACAATAATAATAAAAAATTAATACATAAAAGGGACTAGAGAGAGGTTTAAGTACATGCCTTACAAATGGCCAACCCTGGTTCAATCCCCAGCACCACATTGTCCCGCAGGCATTGCTGAGTGTAGTCTTGGATGTTCCCATGTGCCACTGGGGTAGCTCAGGTACACATCACTTGTATCACAAGGCCCAAGCAGCACCACATCCTTGGACTGAAGACTGACCCATTGGCCTCGTTGGCTGCAAATCACCAGGCCTGACCACCAGACCTCTTGAGCACCATTTGGGAGACACCCCCTCCACCCCCAAAAAATAATTAAAATTTAGGGATAGATATTAAGTACCAAATTCATTCAAACATTGATATTTATCGTCAAATACAAACACTTAAATATTGTGAAAGTATGTATCAGTATTACTTTGAAGCATTCATCGGAAGAACTCATCCAAATCTGTTTAAAAATCAAAGCATTTCGGGGCTGGAATGATAGCACAGCAGGGAGGGCATTTACCTTGCATACGGTGGACCGGGCTCAATTCCCAGCATTTCGTATGGTTCCCCCAAGTACTGCCGGGGTGATTTCTGAGTGCAGAGTCAGGAGTAACCTCTGTACACTGCCAGGTGTGACCCAAAAAGCAAAATAAAATAAATAAATAAATAAATAAAATAAACAACGAATTTGGTAATGCAGGACCTAGATGGCAAGAAAGGGAGAAATCTAAACACAATCCCAGGACGCTATGACAAAAACCACATCAAAAACTGAATTAAGTGGAGCTCATGCCCAATTCAATCAGCTAATCAGTGGCTGAATAAATAGCAGTACTCCTACATAAAAAAAATTTTTAAAAAAAAACTGAATTAAAGGGGCCAGAGCAATGGTACAGTGGGTAGAGCACTTGCCTTGAAAGCAGCAAACCTAGGTTTGATCTCTGGCATCCCAAAGGTTCTCAGAGACTGCCAGAAATGATTCCTGAGCACCACTGGGTGTGACCCAAAAACGGAGCCAAAAATGGAATGAAATACAGAATCCTGCCTGGGGCCCTGCTGAAGAAGCTCACTGGAAAACTCAGACACCAGACTGGGAGAACTGTGCCAACGAATGAGAATTAGCAGCGGAATTGGGAGCTAAAGAATGAGACTCTGCCAGGGAGGTACCAAAACAGAACTGGCAAGGGGAGGAAATTAGTCTAGGGAAAAAGGAATGAACTGCAAACTGGCACACTAGCTTAAAAACTCTACTCTTGGGGCTGGAGCAATAGCACGGCGAGTAGAGCGTTAGCCTTGTAAGCGGCCAACCTGAGTTCAATTCCCAGCATCCCATATGGTCCCCTGAGCACTGCCAGGAGTAATTCCTGAGTGCAGAGCCGGGAGTAACCGTTGTGCATCACCGGGTGTGACCCCCCAAAAAGAAAAAAAAAAAACCTCTACTCTTACAATGCCTGAGCTAGACACAGAATCAAACCCTGCAAGATATTCAGGTCTGGCTCATCAGAGACCTCCTGACAGCCAGCAGGAAACCACAGTTTCAGAACAAGAAGGAGACCAAGGGCAAATTCCACCATCCTAAGGCCAGGGTGGAGCCTAAGCATGTGCTCAATGAAACCAGCCCCCGCCCAATCTACATCTGATTGCAGACAGAGGAATAAATGCCTGGACTCAAAATGGATTTGCAGAGACTGAAAAGAGCAAACAACAGACCCACTATACCCATATTTCTGCTCTTTTTTTTTTTAATGTCCCACAAATGAGTGCAGTCATTCTATATCTGTCCCTCTCCTTCTTATTCGTTTCACTCAGCATGATATTCTCCATGTCATCCATTTATAAGAAAATTTCACAATTATTTTTCCTGGTGGCTTTATAGTATTCCATTGTATACGTGTACCAAAGTATCTTTATCTAGCATCTGTTCTTAGACACTCAGGTTGTTTCCAAATTCTGGATATTGTGAATAGTGCTACAATGAACATAGAAGTGCAGATGGCTTTTGGGCCATCTGTGTTTTTGAGCCCTTCTAGCTATATTCCTAGAAGTATTTCTGGGTTACATGAAGCTCAGTTTCTAGTATTTTTAGGAATGTCCAAATTGTTTTTCAAACAGTTTTGTTGTTTTTGATGTGTGCCAGTCTCTGTGATGTGAGATGATATCTCATTGTTGTTTTGATTTGCATCTTCCTGATGTAGTGCATTTTGTCACGTGCCTTTTGGCCATTTGTATTTCTTCTTTGGGGAAGTTTCTCTTTATTTCTTGTCCCTATTTTTTGATGGGCTTGGATTTTTTTCTTGTAAAGTTATACCAGTGCCATTTATATCTTTGTTATTAACCCTTTATACAAATAACGAAAGAGAAGGAAGATATACTTTTGTTTGTTTGTTTATTTTTTTTAATGTAGGAGTATAGCTATTTATTCAGCCACTATTCAGCTGATTGAATTGGGCATGAACTCCACCTTAATTATTTTTCATTTTTTATAATTTTATTTATTGAATCACCGTGTGAGCAATTACAAAGCTTTCGGGTTTAAGTCTCAGTCATATGATGAAACACCCGTATCTTCACCAGTGCCCATTCTCTACCACCAAAAACCCCAGTATATCCCCATCCCAAACCCTCTCCCTACCTGTAGGGCAGATGATTTCCACATTACTCTCTATCTACTTTGATTACATGCAATATTTTGACACTAGACCTACCATTATTATTTGGGATTTTACCCCAACACTCAGATCTGCTGAAAAGGCAACACTAGACAATTTGTTTTCTATTGCTAGTTATGAATAACATATGGTGTCACGTGGCTGCAATAGTGGCAATGCTATTTTGGAATTCCAAAGTTTTAACAATTAAATCTGGAGGAATTTCTTCCAGAACCTGCTGGGCTTCGAGATTTGTTCCTGAGTCTCTGGGATCATGGCCGTTAAGCAGCTTGATCAGGAGCCAGAGAGGCCATTTGTGGGTGATGACTTGGGGTCTCGTTGGGGCGGGGAGGAAAGGGCCAGCTCCACCCCCATCCCGTGAGACCCCACATGTCTCATTACTGTGGGCCCAAACCTAACTGTCCAGTGGCCTCTGGAGGATGGCGGCCACCGAGCCGCTGGGGGAACAGGCCAAGGCACAAAACGTATTCCCACCTGGGGTGGCCCAACACCAGTAACCTACTGCAGGGACCAGATACATTTCTGCCAAAAGCCACTGGGTTCCTAGATTTGTTTCTGAGTCTCTGGGATCATGGCCATTAAGCAGCTTGATCAGGAGCCAGAGACGCCGTTCGTGGGCGGCAACTCGGGGTCTCATTGAGGTGGGGAGGTAAGGGAAGATATATTTTTTTAATCCCATTCACAAGTTGTGCCACAGAAAATCAGGTACCTTGAAATCAGCTTAACCAAAGAGGTTGAAGAACCTTTATACAAAGAAGATTATAGAATCCTACTTCAGTAAATAACGAAGGACATGAGGAAATTGAGACACATCTGCTGCTCATGGAGTGGGAGGATTAACATAAAAAAATGGCAGTTTTCCCTAAAACATTATCCAGATTTAATGCAGTGCCTATAAGAATACCCATTACATTTTTCAAAGAAACAGATGAAACACTCCTGAATTTGTATGGACAATAAACCCCCATGACTAAGTAAAGCAAGCACGCTTCAGGACCCAAAATTTCATATATTTTATTTCTGAATAATAGAACATTTCTAAAATTTAAGATTTTTACCTGGGCTAGAGCGATAGCACAGCAGTAGGGCGTTTGCCTTGCACGCAGCCAACATGGCCGACCTGAGTTCGATTCCTCTGCCCCTCTCGGAGATCCCAGCAAGCTACCGAGAGTATCTTGCCCGCACAGCAGAGCCTGGCAAGCTCCCCGTGACGTATTCGATATGCCAAACATAGTAACAACAAAGTTTCCAATGGAGACATTACTGGCCCCGCTCGAGCAAATCGATGAACAACGGGAGGACTGTGACCATGACTGTAAGATTCTTACAACACGTAATTCTGTCACTATTTTCAATTTTTTAATTTGATTTTTATTAAAACATCATCATTTACAAAGTTGTTCATAATGCAGTTTGAGGCATATTAAGTGTTCTAACACCACTTGTGTGGCCTTCCCCCCACCAATGTCCTCAGTTTCCCTCCCAACCCCAACCTCCCCCATGAGGCACAGAACAAATTTACTTCATATTTCTTGCTCTAACAAAACTTAAAGAAATGGCAAAGAGAATGCTCAGAAAATAAATCAGTCAGAGCTAAGTTGTGATTACTGTATGAAATTAAATAAAATTAAAACCATTTAATACAATATAATAAGATGCCTGTTCTCATTTACATCAATAAGTTTTCAACTCTGTTTCAGTCAGTTTTAAACCAATTCCTGTGAGTCAGGACAAATTTCAAAAGCACAAATCAGGGTCTGGAGTAGTAGCACAGCAGGTAGGGCGTTTGCCTTGCAAGTTGCCAACCCAGGTTCGATTCCCAGCATTCCATATGGTTCCCCCAAGCACCACCAGGAGTGATTCCTGAGTGCAGAACCAGGAGTAACCCCTGAGCATCGCCGGTGTGACCCAAAAAGCAAAAAAAAAAAAAAAATCAAAAGCACATATCATCACCCTTGTTCATGATACAACAAAGGGGAGCTTTCATACTTCCTTCAAAATACTGACTACGCTGGCCATCCACTTGACATGAGCTCATGCAAGGTTTAATTTCTCATTCCAGATGACCTCAACATTAGTGGCATCATAGCAGCAGTGGTCGTCGTGGTTCTGGTGATTTCTGTGTGTGGCCTGGGTGTGTGCTACGCTCAGAGGAAAGGTTACTTCTCAAGTAAGTGAACCTCACCTTTCTAGACATCTTCCTGTGGTAAGAGTTTGCTAGACAACTTCCTGTGGTGATAGTGTTTGCTAGACTTTCTGTGGTGATAGAGTTTGCTCTTGAAGAACATCTAACAAGCTCTGGAGAATCTCTCTCATTGCTTTTTCTGCAGTAGAAAGTGACGAAGATGACATACAGGTGAGTCTGGAAGGACCTTGGCACCTTTAGGGAGGAAAGGCAACACCTGCCTCTTCACAACCTTCCCGGAAACATCACTGGATCTGAGAAGAGTCCAGGAGTGGCCTAGCACTGCCTTCTTGAGAGCTATCAATGAGGACAGATATTTAGAGTGTATTTGCATGTCTTTAACGTCCTTTAACTTAGGAATTGTTTATTTCCAGATGTAAAATGGTTTCTACTTTCATAGTAATTTCTCATTGAAAAAAATCTGCACTATGTTTTGCTGGCAGTCAAATATTGAATGTTAAGTTTCATAATAGTTTATTACACTTCAAATACAAATTAATTGTGTCTGAGCAAGACTTGTTTAATAAAACTCTTTACCAGAGTTGTTTCTGAACAAGGTTTTTAATTTCTCAAATTCAGATCTTTTATTATTACAAATCCCCATTTTGCGATAACTAGGTTTCATGTGAATGGGTGAGACATGTTTTTTATCTTTGTTTTGTAGACTCTCAAAACTGCAGATCTCCATCAAGTCCAGTGAGAATGTAATTTATAGAGTTTTTAATACAATAAATAATAAATTCATTTAAAAAAGAGTTTTAATACAATAAATAATAAATTCATTTTAAAAATGAATAAACTTTAAAGATGCTGTTTTACTTTAATTTTGGAATTTAGGTTTTAAAATAATTTATACTTTATACTAAAATAAAATATAAAGGGGGTTATTTATTGCTTTTATAGGATTTCTCTCATAAAATGTTTCCATTATTGTACTTTCAAAGGGATCCTCAGTAACTGAAAATAGCTGCTTTGTGAATTAAGAATGCCAGTTTTTCTTATGTTGCTTCAATCGAGTCCAGTAGAGTGTAATTTTGTGAATAGAATCTTACTGAGGCCCTCTGCTGGTCACCAGTGAAAGTACAAACAGATAAGATTACTCACTCAAAATGCTTTGATCGGTGTACTCCCCAAACACATTTTGAGTGTTTAATTGAAGACTTGATAGATCTCATTTATAATGATAACTGAATTAAAATTTGAATTGTATAGTGGTAGTTAATTAGCTAGGAACGTTTACTTCTATTTTCGCCTAGCAGAAGATTGATTCAAGAGAATTGTTTTTGAACTTATATTTTGTACAAGAGTTGGCAAACTAGAACATGTGAACTGTTCATCCTACCACATGTTTTTCTGTGAGCTATAAGATCAGAATGACTCTACAGCCATCTGCAATCTAGTTGATAAGAAATCTGAATCTCGGGATTGGAGAAATAGCACAGCGGGTAGAGCGTTTGTCTTGCACGCGGCTCATCCGGGTAAGATTCCCAGCATCCCATATGGTCCCCCGAGCACCTCTAGGAGTGATTCCTGAGTGCAAAGCCAGGAGTAACCTCTGAGCATCGCCGGGTGTGACCCAAAAAGCAAAAAAAAAAAAAAAAAAGAAATCGGAATCCCAATTAAAGGAATTGCTCTCCATCTAAAAGACAGACCATCATTTGAGTTGTACTTTCATCACAAGACTTTGATTATCACAATTATAATTTTTATTGATTATTGTTGTTTCCGAGAGTATCTCGCCCGCACGACAGAGCCTGGCAAGCTCCCCGTGACGTATTCGGTATGCCAAACACAGTAACAACAAAGTCTCCAATGGAGACGTTACTGGGCCCGCTCAAGCAAATCGATGATCAATGGGAGGGCCTTTACTTTACTTACTTACTTATTGTTGTTTCATTCTATTGATAAAATTTCAGAAAGTATTTTCTTTTTTACAAGTACACTTATAGCCTTGATGTTTACTTCATGTTTACCCACAAAGCTCAAAATATTTGTCACCTGTTACAGAAAGTTTGCCAACCCTTGATTTGGAGGTTATAAATGTCAGAGAGTAAGAATCAAAATTGAAGGAAAATAAGCTTAAAAATCACTTTATATGAATCTGTATTATACCGTATTTACTCTTGCATTAATCATGTATACTTATTCTTTTGTAGAAGAACCTTCCTTCCAGTAAGTATACTTTCTTCAAATGCATGCTTTCCCCCATATCAACCACCTTTCTGTTTAGCATCCTCTGAAAAGTCAATGGTGAAAAGTTGGGCCATTTGTGTAGATTTCATCTTGGGAAGTGGGAAGTGATGCAAGCTCATTAAAAATGCATGTCACCTCCTGTCCTGCATCTTCTTGTCAGTGATGTTTAATTACTGATGTTTAATTACCTAGAGAAGAAAGAGCCACTAGATCAGTTTTCTAGGAAGTTCCATAGGACTACTTTTCAAAGACATGTGTTGTATTTTGTTACATTGGAAATTTTCAAATAAAATTCTACTTGGTCATCACTTTTAATGTCAGTTCTGTTCTCAACAAGACCCTAGAGACTAGTGATACAGCAGTGAACCAAAAAAGACCCCCTAACCCTCAATCTAATGAAGCTTACACTAGTAAAGAAAGGCAGAGAAGAAACTAGTAATATGTCACTTGTGATAAAGATTGATGGAGAAAAGTAAAGCAGGTGGGGGCTAGAGCGATAGTACAGTGGGGAGGGCATTTGCCTTGCATGTGGTTGACCAGGGTTCGATCCCCAGCATCACATATGGTCCCCACACACACACACACACCAGCACTGTCAGAATTAATTCTTGCATGTAGAGCCAGCAGCAACCCATAAGCATCGCCTGTGACCCAAAAAGGGGGCTGGGGGGAAGCAGTAAAGCATGTAGGAGAATGATGAATACACCAGAAAGACCCTTTTAAATAGGGTGGCTGAAGAGCCTTAATGACAAGGTGTGTAATCACCAGGCTGCTAGGAAATCTCGAGGCTCTCTCTCAACACCTGGGTTCAGTGGCCTCAGGCCACTCCCCCACCCAGGATGGCCAATGCCATGGACAGATAGGGAGGAAATGAGGGCCAGGTTGGTTGGTGATCAGTTGCCATTTATTCCATTTTCCCCACATGCCTGTTCTAGACTCACTAAGCTCCCCATTCCAGTCTCCCCCTGTCCCCCTCATTAGTCTCTTGCGCTCCTTCTCACAACCACTCTCTCTCTAGCCTCCCCCATCTCCCCACATTGGGGGTAGCCAACGCACCCAACCCGTAGTACAGTTAACATATGAAAGCCCTTCTTCAGCTCAAGGGCAAAAATACCACTTAGGGATGTTTTTCTCTCCTTAGTCCAACAGCTTAATTAACATCTTAATTCTACTTCTTGATACTAGTTATTTTGTATGGACACTGTAAGAGATATGTTAACCTTCTAGGGTGGCTCTCCTGGGGACATCTCTCTATAGATCTCAGACTACAGTGGTCAGGCCAGATTAATCTTTCCTAACCCTAGCAGGGTCCAAATCTAGATGTTACTTTTTTGGATCATGACAGAATTTGTCCATGACCACACTCTTAACTTAATGTTAAGTATTATGGTGCTTTGACCTGGCCCATATCGATGCCAGGGTAGCTCACAGCTTGTCCTGGGTCCATCCGGTTCCTCATCAGGACCCAGCTTTTGGGGTGCTAGTAAGTAAGGGCAACTGAGGCTTAAATGGAGAGAACAGATGCCCAGGAGTGAATATCATTTGGAGTCAGTTAACTCTCAAGTTACAAAATCATAGCATTAATGTCTTCCTGTGTCTATACCAAAAAAAAAAAAGGACTGTAGCACTGCAGTAGCACTGTCCTTCCCTTCATTGATTTGCTGGAGTGAGTGGGGGACACTGCTGTAAATTAACTCTCTCTCTCTATTTTAGGCATTATGGTTTGCGATACAGATGCTGAAAGGTTATCATGTATATCCCTTTACCTACTTTCAACACTCAGTTCTTGTCGAGAGTGATAGTTTCCAGCTAGTATTGTCATAATGGACCCTCCTCTATCTTAACTAACCTCCACCCCCACACCCTTGTGGGAATTGTCAACCGTTAACCAGTAGGAGGCAATGTCTTTTTTCCCTTGAAATCTCTGCCCTTTGCTCAATCGACAGCCATCAAAATTTGTTGAATGATAAACTGGATGTTGTTGTAGTTATCCACGGTTGCTGTAACAAAGTGCCAGGGGTGGGGTGACATAAACATAAATCTACTGCACTGGAGAAAGGGCTGGAGCAAATGCTTTGCATGCTGAACGCCAGACTCGAATTCTGACACCTTATAATTCTTATAATTATAATTCTTATAATTCCCTAATAATTCCCTACTGTGGGGTTCGTTCCAAAACAAGAACACACAAACAAGAATGAAAAAAGATGCTAGAAATTAATTTTCTCACAGTTCCAAATGCCCCACGTCTCAGACAAGATGAGGGGAGTTCTGCTTCCTTCCGAGGGCTGTGAGGGAGAATGTTCCAGGTCTCTCTGACAGTTGATGACTATCCTGTGCTGTGTGTCTCCTGTCTTCTTTCCTCTATGAACGTGTGTCTATATTTTTCCTGTTTGTAAAGGCCATGTTGAATCAGGACATATTCCAACGACCTCATTTCCTTTAAGTGACCTTGAATACCCTCTCTCCAAATCCAGTCACATTCTGAGGAACCAGGTGGTTGAGTCTTGAACATACTGATTTGGGGATAATGTTACGAATGACAGAGCCCAGAACACAACAGATAAGCAGAACTATAGTCACCTGGTAAAATTTCCTTTCTAAGGAAAATATAAAAATAAAAGATAATGATCAAGCTTTCAAAATGTTCATTTTTAAGAAGTTAAAAGCTGTTCATTGATAAATTAAAAAAACTAAGATGTCTGTAAAAATGATTTTGTGGCAAACTTCTAGTATGTTCTCTAAGGTAGATATTAGATTTACAGGGTTTCACTCATACCACCATCTTGTTTTGCATGGCTTTCTCTCTACATGCTGTTTATGAATATAAGAAATTCCACTAGGATTTCTGACTTTTTTTTCCCCCTTGCTGAATAGCTGTTCAGCTTCCTACTGAGAAAAAAAAATGCATGGATAGCATATTAATGAAAAGGGTATGTGTTTCAGAATGAGAAGTGAAAATGTAGTAAATATTGTCTTTTATATTCCACAAACAGGAAGAGTCATTCACATTCAAAGGCTACGACAGTGAATGAAAATGTGAGTATTTGAAGACTTATTTGTAGAATGGATGTGTTTAGGAAATAGGGGAGGGGATGAAATAATAACATGGATGGGATGGATTTTTGCTGTTAGTATACTTTGTACGATTGTTTAGTTTCAGTGCTGTGTCTAAGGATGGCATGGGGAATAACCGGCATTTGCAGACCATGGGTCATCATCATGCCCTTATATTCTCATTAGTCAATCTCCTTGAACCTGTCTTATCAGCTCCACTTTATTGATCAGGAAAAGACAGCAGTATTTCACAGAATTCCAGCTAGTGAACTGAGACCCATGTATCCTGGTTCTTGGTTGCAAACCAAACAGATCCCTTCCACTTAGGTTTCCTGGATCACTGTCACTGTCACTGTCCTCCCGTTGTTCATTGATTTCCTTGAGCGGACCCAGTAACATTGTGAGACTTGTTGTTACTGTGTTTGGCATATCGAATATGTCATGGGTAGCTTGCCAGGCTTTGCCGTGCGGGTGAGATGCTCTTGGTAGCTTGCCGGGCTCTCTCCTAAATTCAAGGAAGTGACATACCCTTTTATTCTTAAAGGTGGCATTCCAGAAATCTTTGGCAACATGTAAAAAAAATTATCTAGATCACATGGTTTAGAAAACATAATTTAGACATCTGGAACTTTGTGTTCTTTTGCATTTTCAAGCCTTTACAGGGTTTGTAGCTCTTCAGATGGATATTCAATTTTTTGCATTTTTAAAAAAATGAATATATGGGGTAATGGGGTGGAAGCTTGGAGGACTATATGTGGTACTTCTAATGTATTTTGAGGCTCATGACCTAAAACCTGAAGAAATGGGAGCGGTGGTTCCCTGAATTCCTTAGTACTCCATAGATCCTCTTAGATCTCCTTTCACTGGAGCTAGAGGTAGGGGCAAACATCGGTATTTTAAATACAAGTGATTATGGGACTGGAGCAATAGCACAGCAGGTAGGACGTTTGCCTTGCATGCAGCCGGCCCGGGTTTGATTCCCAACATCCCGTATAGTCCCCTGAGTACCGCCAGGGGTGATTCCTGAGTGCAGAACCAGGAGTAAACCCTGTGCATCGCCAGGTGTGACCCAAAAAGAATAAATAAATAAATAAATAAATAAATGTGATTGTAACTTACACTCACTTTCGAAACCCACAAACAGAGGCTCCCAACTCATTTCCCCTAATACCTCCTTTTCAGAAATAAATAAAAATACTCCACACCCCCTGAAAATCTAACTTCTTTAATCAAACAAGCAAAAAACATTCCCCATGGAGCTGGGGGAAAAAACAGCACAATCAGTAAGGCACTTGCCTTGCATACATCTAACCCAGGTTCTATCCCTGGTACCACATATAGTCCCCCAAGCCCCACCAGGAGTGATCCCTGAGCACAGAGCCAGGAGTAAGCCCTGAACTCCACAGAGTGAGGCTCCCAAACCAAAACAAAGGAAGAAAGTAATCCCTGAAGCCACTACTGGCCGTGGAATACTTCTAGTACCACCAGGGGGTGGTAGCACCCATTTTTAATGGGAAACACTGTCACTGTCACTGTCCTCCTGTTGTTCATCAATTTGCTCGAGTGTGCCCAGTAATGTCTCCATTGTGACAATTGTTGCTGTGTTTGGCATATTGAATACGTCACGGGTAGCTTGCCAGGTTTTGCCATGTGGGCGAGATGCTCTCAGTAGCTTGCAGGGCTCTCCAAGAGGGGTGGAGGAATTGAACTTGGGTCGGCCATGTTGGCCACTTGCAAGGCAAATGCCCTACCCGCTGTGCTATAGCTCCAGCCCAATGGGAAACACTACTTGATTTATTAATATTGTTAAGAGTTGAGATAACATGTTTACAAGTGTTAACATTTATGGTTTTTATGTACAGCTACCAAACCACAATTCACCTCCAGCAAAGTGTCCTCCCCTAGTAACACCCTATGCTACTTCCAGTCCACCTCATCATTCCCCTATTTATTCCACCCCTGACCTGGTATTCTCAGTTTTATAATCCTGGTGCAAGGATTTGTTATCATTTGATACTGTCTATTTCCTTGTTTTCTTTCTCTGTATTCCACAAATGAGTTAGATCATTGGGTATTTGTCTTCCTTATTCTACTCCTTTGGACTTCTGCTGCTCAACCTGATACCTCCAGTTCCATCCATGCTGCAGCAAACTCTATGATTTCATCTTTTTTTTTTTTTGGCTGTGTACTGTTTCATGTGTGTGTGTGTGTGTGTGTGTGTGTGTGACAGCTTATTATACTATTTGAGTTTTTTGGTTTAATTGTGGATGTTTGGGGAAACAAAAAGATAGAAATCCAAAGCACAGATCTACCAAATAAGGTTCACAAGCCCTCCTGAGCTAAGAAATGGAAGAGGTCTGGATATCCAAAAGGAATTAATTTCAAGGGCCAGAGTGATAGTATAATGGGTAGAGTATTTGCCTTGCACATGGACAGATTCCATCCTGGGCACCACTTCTGGTCCCACAGGCCCACCAGGAATGATCACTGAGAAAAGAACCTGAAGTAAGCCCTGAATGTTACTGGGTGTGGCTCAGAACAAACAATAAAAGCAAAAGTAATTCACAGAACAGACAAATGAAGTATATATTTGATGGTTAGATGTTTGCCCTGCTATACAGATGGGCATTGCTGTTCATTGAGAACAGCAACAACCAAAAAAAACTATCAGATTTATGTTCCCTATCTAAATTCTTTAAGGTAATTAAGGAGAGAGATAAGTCTGCCCTTAAAGCTACTGGGTCTTGTGTGTGTGTGTGTGTGTGTGTATGAGTGTGTTTTCCTTTTTTCAAATCAAAGTTTTAGACTTTACCTCCTAATATTTAATTATTTAGTTCTCTACCCCCAAAACAAAACTAAATTTGTGCTATTTTATTCTAATAGTGGATATAGTTCTATACCCACAATGTATCTATATTTCTTTAACATATTGACACCGGTGCTGCAAATTGTGTCATTTAAACCACATCCAAGGGGTAGGAGGGTGGGAGAGAAACTAACTGGGGACATCGGTGGTGGGAAATGCACACTAGTGAAGGGATGGGTGGTGGGACATTGTATAACTGAAACTCAATCATGAACAACCTTATAACTGTGTATCTCACTGTGATTCAATTGTGAATCACTGGCAATACACGTCAGTAACAACATACTAAATATGAATAATGCACTACATTTCAACTTTGTTTTTCTTTCTTTTTTCTAGGATTTCAAGCACACAAAATCCTTTATAATTTAAAAGAATTCTACTTTTGAAATATACCAAAACCACAGTTGTTACACAAGTTATTAAAAAATATATAAAACTCTGTTTTGTCTTACATTTGCAAAGAGATATACAAGGAAGAGAGATTGGTGTTTCATTATCATTTTAATGATGGTTCCGTCACTTGAAATTATTTTAAGCAAATCTGTCACCATCTAAAATAGTCTGGCTTCTGTGTTTGGACTGAGTATTAAAAAAATGGAGATACTTCATAATATTCTAGAATAGTAAAATATTAGATGTTCTAACTTCTAGAGAAAGTTACTAAAACATATTATGCTGAAGGTAAAAGTAATTCACAGGACTTGAAAGTATCAACTGCATGTACCTTCTATGCCAGAGATTTAGAAGGTTCAGGAAAAACTGGCAGACGCAAAAGAAACCCCTGATCTCATTTCTACCAGATTCCTCTTCTCTCCTTCACCTGGCAGATAATCGTTATTTTTGCTGCTCATTTAACACTGAAGGAAATAATAGGAGTGAGCCTTTTATCAAGAATTTGTACTTTGAGTTTACTTTCATTCCTGCCAACCCAAAGCAAGATAAAGAAAATTACCCAACCAGAGCGCTCTTGTCCGACGTGTTGATGGTTTCATTAAATGTAACTCTGAGAGTCAAACACAAAGCCAGGTGTCTCATTTCACCTCAAACTGCTCGTTGCTTTATACCATCCTTGAAGATGTGACATCAAAACTTGCCACAAACGCCTCTGTCTGAACACTGCAGATCCCTTTCCCTTTGCAGTGGGGATTTCACGTCTCTAAAAATGGGGCTGTGGGGCTGGAGCGATAGTACAGTGGATAGGGCATTTGCCTTGCACGTGGCAAACCCGGGTTCAATTCCCAGCATACCATTTGGTCCCCTGAGGACTGCCAGGAGTGATTCCTGAGTGCATGAGCCAGGAGTGACCCCGTGCATGGCTGGGTGTGACCCAAAAAGCAATAAATAAATAAATAAAAATGGGGCTGGGAAATTCTGGGCTGTGCTGAGTCCCCTATGTTATCGTGAGTGTTATACCAATCTTGCATCTTGTAGAGTTTGCGGATGCTGAGGGAGGGAGTGGTTGTCTGCTGAGTGACGTGAGAGGAAAGAATTCACTACAACAACCTGCACCAACATGCTGTTGACTTATAGAGGACACAGGAGAAATCATGACAGAAATGAAATATGGGTGTAATCATCTGGTTTCTCCATGACCTCCAGGGCCTCCTGCCTGTGCTACTGAGTGACAATGATCTTAACCCATTAAAAAGGAGCAAATAAGCCATGTTGAGTCTTGAGCCATTTAGGACAGACGCTGATATTCAACCATATATTAAAAACAAAATATGGCAGGGTCATTCCAATTCTGGGCAATTTGGGATAAAAAGATCACTCACTCTTGTCAATTCTGAACATGATGGAGCTGTTTTAAGGGAGTTCATTCTGAATGTCCAATATGCAAAACAAATCCTCAGGAGTCACTGAAAACAAGATCTAAACACTTGTCCAGTGCCCAGCTTGCATCTAGAATCAAGTCACTGGGAATATGCCTGTGGAGTCTGCCACCACCCCTAAGTTACAAAAGCCTTTTCTAATCACATCCTTTTAAACAATCGCTGTAAAGGGACAGATGAATAAGTTATGCCATGCAAGTTTGTGGTATCTCATGTGACCACTTAACTCTGCCATTGTAGCACAAAAACAGCCATAGGCAGTAACAAATAAATTGGTATCTTTGAGTTCAAGTAAAATTATATTTGCAAAAATGGTGCACGCAGAATTTTACCCACAGGCAAAGGTTTCCCAACTTTGCATGGTGGAGCATGAAAAAGATGCGTATTCCCAAAGCTTTTGTAAAAAGTCACGCTCAATGATGTTCAATCTTCGGATGATTTGTGGAATGCTATATCCAAGTGCCAAGGGGATTTGTGAATCTTGGAGATCCATGTTGAAACATACCCATCATCAATCATACAGAATTACTTCCTCCGTTTAAGTGACCCAATACAGGGGGGAAATACACAGTGCCTTATCATTACCAATAGACAAAAAAAGAAAAAAATCCTAAGAGTAGGATTCATTTATGTGTGAATACCTCTTTATGTCAAATAGGTATTACCTTAAAGTATTGTACACAGCAAAATGAAAATCATCACGTGAAGAATCCTGTCTTCCACAGAAAGATCTAGAATTGAGCTTTTTTTTTACTTATTTAAATATCTATCTGTCTAGAATTATATCTCCATTTGCTTTTATTTGAAGGAATTAAGCACTGAAAATTGGTAACGCAATTACAGTTCTTAGAGCATTCTTGTTTCCCTGCAGTGAAATTGTGTTGCATAAAAAAATGGGGCTCTAGAATAGATCTTTAACGGCAAGTTTTGTTGTATTATTGTTGCTGTTCTAACTAGATTTATCTTTCAGTTTGGGGGCCACAACCAGATGTACTCTCCCACTGAGCCACATCACCAGACCTAGGACTTAATATTAAGATAACTTGACAGCAGGGGCCAGAGTGATACTTCAACAGGTGGGCATTTGCCTTACATGAGGACAACCCGGGTTCAATCCCCACTGTCCCATATGGTCCTTCAATGACACTGAGATTGATCCCTGAGCACAGAGCCAGAAGTAGATCCTGGGCACCACCAGGTGTGGCCCTCAAAACTAAACACAACCCAAAAAAGGTGATTTGATGGCTAACTATTCTTCTGGGGAGGGAGGGGTACATCCAACTTCCAAGTTTTGGGGCTCCCAGCTCTGTGCTCCAAGGACAACGTGGTGCTGAGGACTGAACCTAGAGCTCCCCAGTGCAAAGCAGTCTCTCCGTTTGAGCCATCTCTATGGGTCATGTAACTTAAGTTTATTTCTATTTGGGGGACTGGCCTAATGAAATCTGAGACAATTATTTTCCAGTAGGACTTTGCAAATAACTTGCTTTGTTTCACAGGTGGTTCTGTTTGATTAATGGGAGTCTGCATTAGTAAAAGTAGCCAAATCTCTTCAACTATTTCAGCTCCATGGAAGTCTATTGCTGAGAAAACCCACAAAGCTGCAGCCTCTCACCATCTGCAGCCACACAGCTAGCTCTTTGCCTAGTCAACATTAGCATCTTGGGGCCAGAGTGATAGGGTGTTTGCCTTGCACACTCTTGGCCCAGGTTCAATCCCTGTCACCTGATACAGTCCCCCAAGCCTGTCAGGAGTGAGACCTGAGCACATAGCCAAGAGTAAGCCATGAGCACTATCAAGTTATGGCCCTCACCCCGCCCCAAAACAAACCAAGATTATCATCTCATCATTTCTGTCTGGATCCCTGCCAACACTCAAACCTCAAATAAAATTTCTTTAAAAAACTATCAAAGGTGATAAGAAGATTGGCATGAGAAGACATGCCAATAAGTCTCCCATGCACATCTCTGAAGGAAACTTGAGGTACCCAGAGAAAAACCATGCATTCCACAGGTTTTATTTGTGAAAATAAAAGGTCTGGGAACATTTTATTTTCTCATCAATATTATAACAAATCAACTTTAAGGGCCAGAAAGTACAGTGAGTAAGGCACTTGCCTTGCACACAGCTGACCTGGGTTCAATTCCCGCACCTTCTGTGGTCCGCTGTGCCCACTAGGAAAGATCCCTGAGTATCTGAATCACTGTCCCGTGGGGTTCAGGGTCCCCTGGGATCCTGTCCCTGTTTAACTCAAGAAAACTGCATTCTTTCAACATTCCCCCCCCCCCCCCCGTCCCCTACTTATCTCGCGTAATCTGATTTTATAGCATTAGATAACATTTATGTATCTCTTGAAATGGCATTCTTCAGCAGGTGGCTTGTAGCTAGTATAGTATGCCACACCATCTATTCCTCTGCTGAAAAGCTCTAAGGCAGGCTGGTTTGGGCTTTATCTGTGTACAGGGAGTATATACTGACACACCAGAGACAGCAGATTTAAGAAGCGGTTTTCTTGTCCTCTTCGAGTAATTTCTGAATCAACCATTGTTACTGAGATATGGGTAGAACATAAGTTGCATAAAACCACTGGATCTTCCATTGTTTGGCCAAAAGACCACCATAGAGTTAACTCCTTAAAAGGGGTTTCCTGGGGACCGAACACTAACACAGCAGAAAGGGTGTTTGTTCAACCCCAGGATCCCAGGAATCATTCCTCACTGCAGAGCCAGGAGTAACCCGAGCACCGCCGGGTGTGACCCAAAAAGCAAAAATAACTAAAAGGAGCTTCCATCACAGAGCCCTCCTCCTCCAGACCCCACCTGCGCTTCTCTGTGACAGACTGATTAGCAAGGGAGGAGGAGGGCCCTGGGCTACTGGGATGAAGCCTGAACATCCAGGGAGACAAATGCTCCTATGCATGTTCAATTTGCCACTTGAATTTCCTGAAGACGTTATGACAGAAGGTTTAGAAACCACTTCATGTTCAGGGAGAACAACACGCCTCCAATGAGGTGGCTCCCCTCAGGCTTCACAACTCAAGGATATCACCACGTAAGCAAGTGTCAGATCACACACAAGCTGTACTCAATTTGCCCGCAATTTTTTTTTCTTTTTTTGTTATATTTATTTATTGAATCACTGTGGGGAAAGTTACAAAGCTTTCAGGTTTAAGTCTTGGTCATACAATGATCAAACACCTTTCCCTTCACCAGTACTTATTTTTCACCACCAAGAACCCCAATATGCCCCCCTTCCTACCCCTCCCAATGCCTGTAAGGCAGATGATTTCTACTCAACTCTCTCTCTACTTTTGCCCGCAATTTCTGTCTGCTTTGTTATCTGCCAATGGCAGTCCTCAAATCAACAATGAAATAATTCACTACACTCAAGCGGACACTCAACACCAAATTATTTATTTGGAATCAGAATAGAAAGAACATTTGACAGAGGAGAGATGTGTTCACTCTGCTACTACTTATCAGTTGTAAAACTGAGAACAAACGACCAGGTAATTTTACATCGTTTCTTCAGGACTGGGGTTTATCAATGACTTCGAATTTGGGTTCTAGAAAGAAAAAGAGATTCCAACTTAGCAGTACTACAATAAAATGCATTCTCTATCTCTAAAACGCTCCAATATTTAAGGCACCAATCGTCTCAATCTTAAGTGTTTGCATGAAAGTTTACATAACTGCTTAAGAGTTATGTGGCACTTACAAGCCAATCTGACTACTGACTGTACAACTGACTTAACATACTATAACATTTACATTGTATAACCACCATGAAAAGGATGCTGTAATCCTCCCCAAATATAGGGGAAATTATCCAGCAAATCATTGGATTCCCAGCACTGAGCCTATAGTATGAAATCTCCACTACCAATAGCAAATATTTACTCCATCTACGTGTCACTGCTATAAACAAGGTTATCATACTAAATGGAGCTGCAATTTAACTCCAAACAATTCATCTTTGTATAGAGGTACAAATAGTCTCACCTTAAAACGCCCCACGACCAAATGTGATCAAATGAACTCACCTTCAAATGTGAAGTTGGGGAACGTATTCATGTCTGCTTTGCCATACATTTGTTTAAGCTTAAAAAGCTCCCGGTCCAGTTCTTGCTGATATTCTGGGCCAGTATCCACAGGGCCTCCAGATGACCTGTTATATAACAAGCAAACAAAAACTCTCCTTAGTAGGCACTAGTTTACTTTTGTAGACAAAATTACTTTTCCCCAATAGCATTTTTAAAGATACTCTGTTGAAAAGGCCACGATGTACAGGTGGCAATATATGAACTGAATACTAAGCCAAGCTGACCCATAGGTCTACCTTGGGAGGCCTGGACTATTAAGACAGGGAATTTCTATTTCATTTTCTGAACAATAAAATGGTAAAACTGTTTTGTGTTATGCCCCCCAACTCCCTTCCCCCCCCAATACTCCAAAACCCCCATTACTAATGACAGCCATTACAACTTGGAGTTATGGTTGGGGCTGGAGCGATAGCACAGCGGGGAGGGCATTTGTCTTTTTGTCTTGCATGTGGCCAACTCGGGTTCGGTTCCCGGCATCCCACATGGTCCCCTGAGCACCCCCAGGAGTAATTCCTGAGTGCAGAGCCAGGAGTAACCCCTGTGCAACACCAGGTGTGACCAAAAAAGAAAGAAAAAAAAAACCTTGGTTTTTTTTTTTTTGGTCATAACCACTGGTTCATGGGGGATATGGGGGATGGGCACTAGGTATACCAGGGGTCAAAATAGGACCCCGCACATACATATAAAACTTGTGCAATACCTTTTAAATGGGGGGTGAGGGGTGGGTATACACCACTTGGCAGTGCTCAGGAAAACTACAGGCAGGATTGAACCAGAATCAACTGCATCTAAGGCAAGTGCCTTAACCTCTGTTCCATTTCAATGGTCCTTGTGCTCTACTTGAGAAATAGCACTGGTCTGATAATTTTGATATACAGCCTTGTACAAAAAGGAGTCAAATTATTCTACCTCCTCAAATGAATAGCATCTCCCAATCCATTGTGATTATTATTAAACCGTTCACTCTCTCTCACCCGCTGCTTAGCTTGGATAGTAGCAAAAAACTATTAATTACCAAGTATCTAAAGTATCAGAGTTCTGCGGCTGGATGTCGCTCAGGGGTAACATGCCTGCCTTCACGCAGAATCAAACTCAGCACCACTAAATAAATAAATATGGATGTATCAGTGGGCTGGAATGATAGCACAGTGGGTAAGGCATTTGCCTTGCATTCGGCCGACCCGGGTTCAATTCCTCCACCTCTCTCAGAGAGACCTGCAAGCTACCAAAAGTATCTTGCCTACATGCAAAGCCTGGCAAGCTCCCTGTGATATATTTGATATGCCAAAAACAGTAACAAGTTGTTGCGAGACATTATTGGTGCCCGCTTGAGCAATTCGATGAACAGGAAGACAGTGCTACAGGATGTATGAGCGTTCCTTATCTGGGGGGACTTTTTATATTTTGTTTTAAGCGAGGGTGCCATATTCACTGGTGCTCAGCTCTTGCTTCTTGCTCTTTACTCAGGAATTACTTCTAGTGGTGCTCAGGGAATCATAGGGTATGCCAGATTGAACCTGGGTCGGTCACCTGTAAAGAAAGAACCCTACCCACTGTTCTATCACTCTGGCCCAGAAGTATCGGTATTCTTTCACTATTCACTCTCTACCACATAACCAAGACCATTTCCCAGTCTCTCTAAAACTTCACTTTCATTTTTATATTTCCAATGCTATAAACAAGGTTATCATCAACTAACATTTGGATTGGGTTTTTTTTCCTGCCTTTTTTCCCTCTTCTCATTTCGTTCTTTCTAATACACTTTAATTTTTCACGTAATCTATAATTGCCTAGTCTACAATTTTTCATATATTGTCTAGTCTATGGGCTGGAGCAATAGCACAGTGGGTAGGGCGTTTGTCTTGCATGCAGCCGATCAGGGTTCGATTTTTCCCCCCTCTCGGAGAGCCTGGCAAGCTACTGAGAATATCTCGCCCGCACGGCAAAGCCTGGCAAGCTACCCGTGACATATTTGATGTGCCAAAAACAGTAACAACAAGTCTCACAAACTGTTGTGAGACATTACTGGTGCTCGCTCGAGCAAATCAATGAACAATGGTAGGACAACGACAGTAACAGTCTAGTCTACAGCTGAAACCCTTCATTTCTTATTCTATCTCCATACTCTACTTGCTGCTTATACTCATGCCTTAGATTCCTAGGAAACAACATTACAACTTCCCAAACATATTTGGAATTTCCTGGTTTTAGTGCCTTGGCTCACATCTTTCTTCCTAAAAACATCCTCCTCCCATTCCTAGTAACCTGTACAATCTCACAGTAACTGCTCACGACTGGCGTAAACCCCTTTGTCTGGAAGTCAACTGAAGGTACTGAGGATTTTAGACAACTTTCAAGAATAACCATGATTAATTTTTTCCAGAGCCATGATTTATAGCTGTCCACTGGATTCTCTAGAACAGCATTTCTCAATGGGGGAGCCACATGGTCCCCAGGAGGCACTGGGATATTCCAAGGGGTCTACTGAACAATTACTGGGGGTAGGGGACACCTACAAGAAAGAAACAAGGTCAGAAGAGTGCCATGGTCAGAAAAATATTGAGCAATAATGTTGTAGATGCCTATGTCCTGAAAAAGAACTGTCAGTGCAAAGAAAAATCATTCTGTTTTCCATCCAAGTCACTTTCCAAAATGCCTCCACCTACAAAAGGGCTTTCCTTCCTATAAAACCCCAAACACTGAATGTGGCCACCATCTGAGCATCTTACACATACTTCCTTGTATTTGCCACTTTACATGCTCGCTAACCCCAGAAGATTTTACCAAATGTAAGAAGATGCAGTATAGTTATTTTTTTTGGAGCTCACCATAATAAACAGTCAAATGTTTTACATATGACTGGCAATCAAAGAGAATAGGAATTGATATATACCACTTTTCCTAAGATTTGGACATTGAACCTGATGGTGGCTAAGGTGATCGTTTATCTTCATTTCATTTCTGGAAGATCAGGTTTTCTTAGACTTACTTTTGTACCACCTCGGTCTTTTGTCCTTTGATATTCCCAGAAATATTTAACAACAGAACATTAAAGAAAAAAAATGCAGCATTTATAATTTCCCCCAAATCATGTCCTAGAAAACATACCAAACTGGGTTAAAATACTTTGACTGTATGTCTCACGTCTTCTTTCACCCGTTAAAAAAAAAAATGTATACGTATACATTTAAAATGTATATAGGGTAGGGCTGGAGGGCATTTGCCTTGCGTGCGGCCAACCCGGCAGAGCAGGGTTCGACTCCTCCATCCCTCTCGGAGAGCCTGGCAAGCTACCGAGAGTATCTCGCCCGCATGCCAAAGCCTGGCAAGCTCCCCGTGACGTATTCAATATGCCAAACACAGTAACAACAAGACTCACAAGAGAGACGTTACTGGGCCCACTCGAGCAAATATCAATTAACAACTGGAGGACAATGCTACAGTGCTACAGGTTAGTCAATATCACAACTTATTTCTCAAATATAGTTCCTAATAATTTCCCAGATGCTATGTCTATGAATACCTGAACTGATAATAAATTGCATTACAATGGCTATACACTTAATGAGATTCTTCCTTGGAAGTGAGGTAAAGGAGATAAAATTCAAAATTAAAATCAAGATGCTTAATAATAATTTTTAGTGGGGGGTTTACTTGGCAGTCCTTGGTAGCTACTCCAAGTTCTGTGCTCAGGAGTTACTACAGGTGATGCCTGGGTACGTATTTGGTGCCCAGGATCAAACTGAGGCTACCACAAGCAGAATGTGCTTTGGCTCTCCAGCTCCAAGACCGTTATCAGCTTCTTCTGGGGTGCCTACATGAACCTCTGAGAGCAGGCTCAGTACAGCAAACCCTGGAGACGCTTCCCAACACTAGTATGCTTCAGATTACCATCTCAAAATGTACATCCTTGGGTGTTTATGTTTATGCTACAGTTGAGGATGGATCCACTTACTGTCGCTTAGTTTTGTATTCCCTGATCTTGTCCACAAAGATTTTCTGGACAGGATCAAGTTCCTTATTAAAAGCCACTGCAGTCACACCAATGTTCCTCCTCAAGTGGACGGAGACAGCGGACTGAAGGAGAGAGGTCAGCCGGAAGAGCCGCTGGAGAATCATGGTGCCTCTGTTCCTGAATGCAAGCGTGAGAATGTTAGACTAAAACAAAAACAAATTTAAAATGTTGTACATACAATTATAAAACATGCCTTCATCATACAGTAAGAATCAAATTCTAATTGCTAAGTACTGAACTGTATCAGAAGCCAGTGAATGTTAAGATCAGTCACCAGACAACATTTCACCCCATCACAGGCGTTTTAGTTCTTAATCAAAAGTCCCAGAGACCAGAAATGCTACAATACAGTTCAAGCATTAGATGCAGAAGGCACAAAATCTGGGAAAAAAAACTTTCTTCTCCAGAAACTTGGGTCTTATACCAAGAATGTCCAGTTAGGGGGATGAAGCGATGGTACAGAGGTTAGGATGCTGGCCTTGCACACTGCCGACCCAGGTCAGTAATTCCTCAGTAATTCCTGAGTGCAGAGTCAGGAGTCACCTCTGAGCATTGTAGGATGGGGCCCAAAAACAAAGAAAATAAAGTCAAATAAGGATGTAGGAAAACTGCCTACCCCAGGAGGATAAAGAACAATGACCGTTGTGGTCCAAAAACAAGCAAAACCCCAGAATACTGGTCCCTAAGGGCCAGGTTCTACATTTGGTTTTGGATCACCTGCTGTTTCTCCCGGCCCATTGCCCACTAGGCTGCTCAGTGACCCCTCCAAGCCATGCCCAGAGGACCATGCAGTGCTGGGAATTCCAATCTGGGCCTCTTGCAAGTAAAATATCTCTCTGTGTCTCTGGTATGATGGGCCAGATTTTTCTGATATCAAAAAAAAAAAAAACAGCATTGAAGTTTTTATTTCACAGGCACACGTTGTGACAAATATGCCAATTACAATGACAGGATTCTTAAGAATTCCAGAATACGGTCTCAGTCAAAGTCCCAAAGAACAAGAAAGTTGTTTGAAACTCAAGGTGGTAAAGGAGAGGGCAAGAAAGGCAGTACAACCTGATCTGTGAAATAATTTGTGAAGGTGCTCCAAGTCTGAATTCTAAAGAGGACTTTTAGACACCTCCCAAACCCCTCTAAAGGTAAAAACACAAAATTTTCTAAGCAAAAAGTTAGTATTAGATTGGACTGGATTAGAGAGTGATCACAGTGAAGATGTTAGGGTCTGGAAGAAGGAATACTAAAACATTTCAAACAGAAGCCAACAGGAATTCCAAAAGCAACAGATAAGATTATACACAAAAAATGTCCTTCAGACAGAAAAAACCGGAGTCCATAAAACTGAAAGGGCTTTCCCAAACCCTATATTGGAAGTGACCAAACACCCACACGTCTTCAGAGCCAGACAAAATTCCTTAAGGGTCAAGTGTAACCCTAATGTCCTTCCCATGTCCCCTCTCTGCACAAGAACCTATCAACCACATGACTGTCACACAGGGCTTCTACTTTTAGAGTATGGCTTGAGGACCAGAGCTGGAGCACAAACTGTCACTGATCAATCATACTAATAATATAGAGATTTGGAACAAACACTTAGTAGAAATTTCACTACTGATCTAACCATTTCTTCCACCCACTTAATAAAAATGAGTTTGTCTATTCATTGCTTTGTTTCATCTTCCATCTCAGGTAATCCATAATCACAAGGAGAAAATGGCCCTTTCCCCTGAGTTTGAGAAGCACTAAGCTGGGAGACAGTGTGGCCCAGTGACTCTCACAGAGGGGTGGGAGTGTCCTCCAGGATATGCGGCAATTTCTGAGACCTTTTCGGTGTCCTCTCGGGAAGCGATTCCCAGAGCTAGTGAGTAAAAGGTCAGAGCCGCTAACGCCCGGGATGATGAGAACAGCAGCCTTCCTGCACCAAGGACGGCCGGTCCAACAGCAGGTCAACAGAGCAAGGGTGAGTGGCCCTGGAACAGCACAAAACATCTGCTGCATCAAACTACAGAGTCCCAATACTCTTCTCCTGCCAGGATAAAAGGACACTTGTTGGAAGGAATTAATCATCTACCACTCTCACAACCCTTCAGAGAAAAATACTGAGAGGACGCCAAGCAAACAGCAATAACCTCAAGGTACTAATTCCTAAGGCTCCCACTTTTACCTATGCAAAACGAATCTTGGTGGTGTCTGGCCGAACGGTACATAGAGGAAATCAGATGGGAAAACATGTATTTTTAAATTGTGCAATTTGATGTCTATTTTTCCCGTCTGGCAAAAAATAAAATAAAACCAGTATTCTTTGACACTGAGCAATTAAGGTCCTCTAACATCCATTCAACCCTGGGTATTCCGCAGAGCACGTCCCCTCTGGACCCTAAACGTCAGTTTTAATAATACTAAAAGGCGGTCTTCTCTCTCAAAGGCCTAAGAAAACTTCTTAAAAATTGCCAGTATCCCTAAGGACTTCTGTCCATTGTGATCCACTAAAAAATCATACGACGACTAAAACAGCATGGGCAAATGTATCCTGAGCAAGGACACGTCTCAAATCCTTCTAACTTGGGGGCCGGAGCGAGAATACAGCGGGCAGGGTATTTGCCGTGCACGCTGCAGACCCGGGTTCAATCCCCAGCATCTCATATGGCCCCCAAGCAAGTAATTCCATATGGCATTACTCCTGAATGGAATTACTCCATTCAGGAGTAATTCCTGAATGTGGAGCCAGGTGTAACCCATGAGCATCGCCGGGTGTGACTCAAAAAGAAGGGGGAAAAAAAAAAAGTCCTAACTTGGGTCTATTCTTCCAACCGTATCCAAGTCCCTCCCCCTGTGAACTGTCCTGCATCATGCAGAAGATGTGTCTTCTGCACAGCACAGACCAGATGTAAAACACCAACTCTGATTATCTGCGTTATTGGGGGGTGGGGGGGTAGGTTGGGGGGGGTTCCACAAAGGACTATGGACCGGCAAGTGATACTGATCAGCCAAACTGGGGAAGGGACCCTCAGAAAAGGGAGGGAGGGAGAGAAAGAGGAGGAGACAGGGGGAGGGTGCGGGAGGGGGGGAGGGAAGGGGGAGGGAAGGGGGAGGGAGGGAGGGAGGGAGGGAGAGGGAGAGAGAGACAGACAGACAGACACACGCTCTTTTGCCGCAGTAACTAAAAAGCCCAGGCTCGGCGCCCCAGTGCACTAGCTGGAACCAACTTTCCCCTTTGGGCACCGAGTTGCTGGAGCCTCTGGCCGAAGTCCAGGCCCCCAGCGGCCCCGCGGTGCACGGCCAGCATTTTCGGTGCGTTTCTAAGCTTTTGAGTCACTGCTGTCGCCCGTTTCCCGTGGTGGGTGGGGGGGTCTGAAGAGACTGAAGCGCGTTCGCGCCGGGCGCACTGTGCCCGCGCGCCGTGACCTTGCTTCGACCCGACTCCGAGTCCGGGTCACCCCTTCCCCCCCGCCGCTCCCCGCGTCCCCGGGGACCACCCGGCTCGCTCTCCAGGCCACTCCACGAGGGCGCCCGGCTCGGCCTCCCGCGACCGGGCCTGCGGGACCCCTGGGCGGTCCGAGCCAAGCGGCCCGGGGCGGACTGCTGCACTCGCCACCGGGGCAGAGGTCAGTTCCTAGAGGGGCCGGGGAGGAGCAGAAATCCAGAATTCAGGTCCCCAGGGGCCCGGTCGCTCCAGCTTCCCTTCAAAGTCACCTTGCACGCGACGTCCGAGAGCCAGAATCGAAGTCCCCAGAGGCCCGGGCGCTCCCGGCTTCTCCTCCCACTCACCTTGCACTCGGGCCCGAGCTGCCAACGCCGCCGCCGCCGCCGCCGCTTCCGCCGCCCGACTTCCGGTCCAAGCTCCGCCCCGGCCCGCCCGTTCAACGCCTCCGGGGCCGCCGCTGCGGGCGGTCGGCACTCACCGGACCGGAAGCTTCTCGGAGACACTCCGCGACCGGACCGCTCTAGGCCAGACGGGAAGAGGAAGTGGAGCGTAATTGCTTCCGGGTACCCCGGCCGAGCCTCCGCTATTTTCATTCAGCCGAACTAGACTAGCTTTTTTTTTCCCTCTTCTTTAAACTTCGTGGTGTACGCTTGCGCCCTTCGGCTCGCCTTTCCCCAGCTTCAGTCCTCACAACCGCGAGTCGAATAGCCCTGTGCCTGTGGGTTGTCGAAGTATAGGATAGTGCAGGGAAAGTGAGAATGTCAAAGCATCGGGTCGCTGCGTTCGCAGGAGCCTCGCGAGTTTCCGTTGCTCCGGGGGGGGCGCTGGCGCGGAGCCTGCTGGGAGTTGTAGTTCTAGGCGCGGGGTTGGGGGCGGGGCTGGAGTTTGTCTGCACCGAATCCGCGGGAAGAGCCCAGGTCTTGCTGGGAGAGAAGGTGCACGTAAAATCCCGCGCTCCCGCGCAGTTTAAGTTCTCTGCAGTCCTAAGTTCCAAAAGGCAGGGTGGAGGGAGCCCAGTGAACCATTAGCAACTCTTGTACTTTTTTTTTTTTTTTTTGCTTTTTGGGGTCACGCCCGACGATGCACGGGGTTACTCCTGGCTCTGCACTTAGGAACTACTCCTGACGGTGCTCCGGGGACCGTATGGGATGCCGGGGATCGAACCCGGGCGGCCCACGTGCACGGCACACGCCCTACCCGCTGTGCTGTCGCTCCAGCCCATACTTTATTCTACTTTTTGCTTTTTGGGTCACACCCAGAGATGCTCAGGGGTTGCTCCTGGCTCTGCACTCAGGAATTATACCTGCAGCGCCTGGGGGACCATATGGAATGTCAGGTATCGAACCCCTGTCGACCACATGCAAGGCAAACGCCCTACCCATTGTACTATCACTCCGGCCCCCATACTTTATTCTTTATATTCGGTTTGGGGGCCACCTGTGCAGTGCTCAGGGATCGTAGCTCTTGATGGTGGGGATCAAACATGTCAGGGAATGCCTTAACCCCTACTCTCTCTTGGTCCACTTTAGTGAACTATGTCTAAGCAATAACTGCCTTGTTACGGCTTGTTCAGGTTTTCCACGCTTATTTTGTACATACTCAGGCACTCCGTGAACGTCAGTGAATTTTACCTGCATTGCATTTACAGAAGCATTTGTCAGGAAGGGTGTATTCCGGTTAAGTGGCAAGATTGAGGAGTTAGGGGCATCACAAGAATATATGAAGGGACTACAACTGTACCTCATGGTGTTTCACTAATAAAAATAAATAAATAAATATTTAAAAAAGAAGAAAAAAAAGAATATATGAAGGGAATAATAAAATTTATTTTACTGAGTTTTTTCTTTTCGATCTTTATAAAACTTCAGACCTATAGTGAGGCAAGCAGGTAGAGAGGGAAGAGGGCCGGTGGCAATGAAATTCCTGGAAATGAACAAAACTAGTATCCCAAGGCTGCAAAATGCCCACCTGCCTGTTGTGAGTATAGGAATTAAAGTTTGATAAAAACCTTCACCTGGTGCCAACACAGACCCTGAGGAAGCTGGACCACCCCACCCACACCTACACAGAGAACAGACTTCAGCAAAGACAAAGACTGTGATGAGGGCCAGAAAGGAAGAGCCTTTCCTTTATATTGGTGTCAGATAACTCTTCTGTCTGCAGGAAACTCGGGCCAAGACTACCTGAGGAATATCCACATAAAAGCCGGTATTAGGGGACAGAGCGATAGTACAGTGGGTAGGGCGTTTGCCTTGCATGCGACTGACCTGAGTTCTAGTTCCTGACATTCCATACGATCCCCCAAACACTGCCAGGAATAATTCCTGAGTGCAGAGCCAGGAGTAACCCCTGAGCATCACTGGATGTGACCCAAAAAGCGAAGGGGAAAAAAAAAAAAACCCAGTATTAGGTATTGAAGGCCTGGGGATGAGAAGGGCTCTCTGCTCCTTTGGAAAAACCTGCATTTTCTCTTGAATGCATTATTCTCTCTTTCCCTCCCTCCCTCCCCTTCCTCCAAATAAAATCTGTTTTTTACTTTACTGTTGGTCTCCTCCTGAAATTGTTTTCTGTGAGAAAGGCGAAGGCCCCAAAAGGCCTGGGGTAGGCCTAGGACTGACTTTCCTGTAAAGAGCAATTCCACACCCCAACCTGAGTCCAGGGCTTTCTGAGAAATCTGGTGGTAAGGATTAACCCTGCTGTGCAGAGCAAGTGGCGTCAGGTGTGGCTACCCAGTGGGCTGGCCAGACTTGAGGCCTGTGCTAATTCCAGACTTGGTCAGTCCTCCTTGATCAGGCCTCGCCTTCCCAGCCAGTCCCAGGGTGGCAGAGGTGGGTCAGGAGGAAGCGTGGCTATCTTTCTCCTTTCCACTTCACATAAGTCACCCCAGGGACCACACTGGCATCACAGGGAAACTGATGGAAAGTTCTACCATCACCAATGACCCTCTTTTTGGGGTCATGTGAGACTTTCTCTAGACTTGCAAGAGCACTTTTTCTCTCCCCTTTCCCATCTTTCCCTATTCCCCCAGCAAAGATTATTTCATTTCTTCATCTGTTGAGAGTATTTGTCCTCTTGGGAAACTGCAGTTGGTCCTGCAGGTACTTCTCAACTACGCTTTTCTTTATGTGTCTTTTATTGTCCTGTTAGGGAAAAATACTGTCCTGGACTTTGTAAACAGTACACTATCTTTTCTTCCAGAACGTTCAGTTCTGGTTTGTGAAGTATTTGAACCACAGGTTAGATTCATCTGGGAGAAACCAGGTATCTATCAGAGGGGAACCCACGAGGAAAGGCACCAAGCAACATTCTCCTGTTTTCTGAAGTTATTTACTTAGGATGCTGTGGAATCGGTACCAGAAAGGCCTAAAACCTGCTCAAGCTCTGTTATAAAACATTTGGACAGTTTCCCAAAGCATCTTTCCACTGCATCCAGGCTAAATTTAGACAACTGAAAGCAAAAGATTAGTTCAGAGACTACATTTAATTTGTTGTCCCCAACCCCACCCCAAAAAAGTGTTCAGAATTCCTTCTTTTTGGTTTTGAGAGTCAGTATATGTAATTTTGGGGGGGGGGAGTTCAAGTACAGAAGACATTTTATTTAAAGGTCTCCCCTTTTTTGCTGTGTTTATAAGTCTTTAGGACAATCTCTTTAATGACTGGCTATTTAACCATATGTTTTCCTATTTTTCCAACGTTCTGAGAATTTTTCTAGGTTTTCTAATGCTTTCAAATTTTGGTTATGGAGATGCGAACATAATGCTAAATTTTAATATAAATAAGACAGCATTTTACACTTTGTAATTCATTGTGGTATGATAGCTTTCTAAACATTCTCCAGTGTGTATTCTTGGCATATCTGGAAAATGCCACCATAGTCCTGTTCAATATCTTCCCATCCTATTCTTGCCTTTCTATTTAATCCAGTTTCCAGGAAAGGAGAATCTCTAGTTCTTTCTGTATGAAAATTGCCTACTACTTCCACCCCATTTCTTTTAACTTTCACAGTTCTGTTGAGAGTATATAAATTCCATAGTTATATAAGATGTTTTGTCATTGATAGTGTTAAATTTGTTTCTTAAAATGTGCATCTATAATTTGTGGTTAAATTATTTCTTTTTTGTCGATAGAAACATGGAGAAAATAATTATGAGAATTTTCCACCTGAGTGAAAGCGAAGACTTGACTTTGAAGTATAAAAAAAATTGATGTATTTTATTATGTAAAGATCCTGTTAGTGATACTTCTAGTAGCAGTAGTGAAACTATAGAATAAAAGAGATGAAGACTTGAAGTCACTGAAGGTGAAACCAAAATTTGTCAGAAGACATAGATGAATGTTGTTATGGTACATAAAAATTTAGTTTCCAATATAAATTTTAGAATATGGCCGAGCGTTATTCACTGGGCCATAAGTTCTTTGAGTTTTGGTTTGATCACTTAATTTTTGGGTTGCGGATCACACCCAGTGATGCTGAGGGCTTCCTCCTGGCTCTGCACTCAGGAATTATTCCTGATAGTGCTTGGCGACCATGTGAGATGCCGGGGATTAAACCTAGCTCAGCCTTGTGCAAGGCAAGCTCTCTACCCACTATTTTATTGCTCTGGACCTCCACTGAGTATTGTACATCGTATGTATTTTTTTTCATAAATACCACTTAGAATTTTTAGGGGGTGAGGGGGAATGAAAGTATTTAGGCATGAAAAAAACTGCTAATAGATGGTTTTCATGCATAACACAGTCCTGCAGTGTCCCACTGTATATCACTGCCCCCCCCCATCCCAACTCCCCCACTTCCGTTCCCACTCACTTTCTTCCCACGTGGTAAGTTTCCTATAGTCCTACTTTGTTTCTTTACGTCCCTCATAGGAGAGAGTTGAGTGTCTTTCATTCTGACCAACATTCAGTATAATACTCTCCAGATCCATCTGTGTAGCAACAAATTAAATGATTTCATCTTTTCTTATAGCCTAGTAGTATTCTATAGTATATATGTACCATGGTTTCTTTATCCTGTCAGCCGTTTTTAGGCACTTGGGTTGTTCCCAGATTTTTGGCTATTGTGAATAGCATTGCAATAAACATAAGAGTGCAGATGTCTTCTGAGAGGTTGGATAAATATTTTTAGTCAGACTAGATTATCAATCATAGATATGTGATAGAAAATGTAAAAGCTTTTATTCCTTCGTTGGGAGGAAATAAATGCAAAAGGTTTCATTGACTGGGAATTACTTGACTTAAAGTTACGAAAACAACGATCCCTTACAATTAGTTTCACAACTTAGCTATCTACTTTGGAACATATTCATAACTGTTCAAGATGTTTTGTAACTATCTTGAAAACAATTGTTGACCTCAGACAAAGAATCTACATGACAATATTTTCTTATTTGACTAATTTCTGGAAAAGAAATGAGTCAAGAAAGCAATCAAATCTATTCCTAACATCTGTTAGTGTAATGCTGATGTCAGCC